TCTCTTATACTCTCTGTGGCATTGCCCACTTTTGTATTCTTCAGCATTCTGCCCATAGATTTTTTTTTATGGTACTGTTATTCTAGTGAACTGTGCACTTTAATTACATTGTGTATGCAACTTTTTCAAAATGTACTAACCATCTTTATTTTCTAACCCTCAGATTTCACAGAGATGACACGGGCTCTTGGATATCCCCGGCTCATCTCTGTGGAGAACTTCCGCAGCCCAAACTTCCCTTTGGTGTCTGAAGTCCTCATATGGCTGGTCAAACGGTACGTATACTAAATACCATGCCTTCAGCCATATCTCCATTCATTCCATTTCTGCCACACGTAATATCCAGCCTTATGATCAAAGCAGAGATTGGCATTTGAGAGGTGATTGCCTCTGCAGTCTCACTGCTCAATTCTTTGCCATTTAGCAGTTAAATCAATTTGTTTATGTCCTAGCCACATCCCTTGTGTCTAGGGAGACTGTGTGAGTCACAGCCAACATGAAAAAGAGTCTACATTTTATTTGCTTCTTTTATTACACAGCCTTTTGTGTGTGATTAAAGTTCAATCAACAGAGCAGGAGATAGCGTCTAAAGTAAACACACAGTGCTGTAAAATCTGATTTAAAAATTAAACTTTTTTTTTTTTCTGGAGACTGTGAGTGAGAGTCACATGCAGGGGAGGTTTGGAAGGGTCTGCATATATAGAAACAAATGTGATTTTATTCCTAAATGGCAGAGAAATTAAACGGTGAGACAGGGGCATAATCTATGCAACAAAACTGCTTCAGTTAATAAAGTTGTTTTGGAACCAAATAAGTAAATCTGTGGGGTCTACAGTAGGGTGAGCTTTACTGAATAAGGCTGGGGAGGAAATATCAGGTTTTTGGAGTGTCACAGAAGCTCCAGGGTAGTTATGGTATAATGATCCTAAATCACGATGAATACGTTAGCGTGTAGATTAAGGAATGGTGAGCTGTTATGAAGAATGCATCCTTCTGTCTATGTGCATTTTCTAAGTTGCTAATTCACCACAACTCTCTAAGTAGCACGTCTGTAATAGATCTGCAAAACTTAGGCCAACATAGCAAAAATTGATTAGTTTGTCTAATTTTTTGCAAGTCCATTTGCATATACTGTGTAGGAAATTACCACAAAGCATTATATAAACTTGTGTTTTATTGTATTCTTATAGCCTGTTCTGTGTTTGTTACAGGTACGAGCCGCAGAATGATATTCCAATAGATGTGGAAACAGAGCAGGACAGAGTTTTCTTCATTAAGGCTGTAGCTCAATTTATGGTGAGTGTGGCCATAAGTAGTCTGTATAGCCCTTTGGAAGGTGCTGTAAGATAAGACACTCACAGGGTTATTCAATAAAGTGAGGGCTGTTGGGAATTCAAAGTCCATTTCAAATTTAAAGCCACAATAGCTGAATTGGAAAAAAATTGTATGTCAGCAAAAGTTCCACTTTGGTTACGTTGGCCACAAAGGGACATTATAGTCATCAAGACCACTCCATCTCCATGAAGTAGTCTGTGTGCAGCTGCCATGTCCTTTCAACCCTGCAGTGTAAAACTTTGTGGTTTTTGAGAAACTGCCTTGTTCACATTGCTGGGTTAAGTTCACCTCTATGACAATGCCAATAGAGACGCCTCAGCGGCACTGACCGAGTAAAACTTGGTTATGTGACGCGGAAGCTCCAATGTGAAGAATTTATTACATTTCCTATGGGGGTGTTTGAATGTATGTGCTACTCTGTGAGGATTGGACATCAGTGGAGGAGGCAACGGGAGGCGTAGAGGTAAGCAGCATATAGAGAGCCTCTGTTCTGGAAAGAGGTAAGTAAATCCTTTTTATATTTATATTTTTTATATATAATCCCTTCTGTCCAATGCTTATTACCCACAGTAACCCATGTCACAATGAGTATCTACAACACTTGGACGAGGCATGCACATGTTGAAGAGAATTCTAGGACATGTGGGGATTTATTCACTAAATAGTGTCTGTGATGGGAGAGTAACATTTGCCACGTATAGGCCAAACAGGAAGACTTGGCCAACTATAAGAATACACGGAATCTCCATCACTATATTTGGTAAATCTGGGATTTATTTTCCCACATGTATTCTGATGCAATTCCTTTGTGGATCAGGATAGACACCTGGCTGTACACCTCTAGGCAGGAATACACGATCTATGTGGATCACTTTTAGAGCAGAGTTCACTACAGCTCTACTTTCTCTTATTTTACATTATTTTATACAGTATTATGTTAGTATTCTTGTTCTATTTTGTCTCACTTGTACATCTTTGGCTGGGATGATTGAATTCCAATTAAATATTTTGTTTTGATTTCAACTTGTTTGTTACTGTCCTTCCTGGTATCTATCATCATTTGTTGCATACCAGTATAATTGTTTTTTTTTCAGATTTTTAATTTATTTTATTTTTTATTAGGGGTGGCTGCATAATTCAGCTTCTTTTTAATTTTTTAATACTGCGGGTAAGAGATCCTTGCTTTTGAAGTTGCTGTCTTTCCTGTTTATTATTAGCCATTAAGCACTTAAGCTGTGTTTTTCATTTTATACTGACTAGTTAGTGAAAATAACATTCTGTATACATCACAAGTGAATTCAAGGTTTCAGCCCATCAGAGTCTTCGCCAGCCTTGTGATGGTATGTTCACTTGTTATGTAAAGTCAGTATATTCTTTATCACAAACTATTTCGTTTCTGTGACCATCTTTGTGTTATTGTGAGAAGTGATTGCTCTTTATAACAGTTCCCAATATTATACAATCCTATTTTTGACACAACGTTAGAAGGAAAGGGCAAGTGCTGAAGCCTTTCATTGTAATTATTTTTAACAGAAAGGGTATAAAATAGCACAGTAAAGGAATTTGAGAATACTTGAAGTGTGCATACCGCAGGTGGAAAGCATAAATAAGCAAAACAATCTGAATTTCAAAATCTGTAAGGCTGCAGGAATAAAATACACAAATAAAGTGAATATTTGAAGGTACTTTATGTCTAGCTGTGTTAAGCCCCTACTGATCAGGCTCCTGTTAAGTTAATAACATGAAGTTAGAGGGATAAATAGAACTTGAACCTGTAAACATGCTTTTATACTCCATGCATAGACAATATATATCATTTTGTAAAACTAATATTTAATTTATTTATTCTATTGGTGTACAAACATAATTATATTGCATGAGAGCACATGTAGAACAAAGCAGCTGTTCAGTTAAATATAACTGGTACTTGTAAACTAGTGATGGTGTCCGAAAGTGCCAACACTGCAATTTATCCCGAAAACCGAAGGTGGTTTAAAAAAACAAAAAGCTTCACATTATTGTCTGAACTAATTAACTGTTTGTGTATAATAGGCAATATTTTGCATTAATAACCACCCAATAAGCACTTTAGGGTTATTAGGTCCCCCCCACCTCCCCTCAGGGCCCCCCTCCCGCTGGGCTGAAGGGGTTAAAACCCCTTCAGCTACTTACCTTTCTCCAGCGCCAGGCTTCCCTCGGCGTTGGTGACCTCTTCTCCCCCTGCTGAAGTCAGCTCCGAATGCCCATGCACGGCCAGAGCTGTGCGCACATTCAAACCGCCCATAGGAAAGCATTACTCAATGCTTTCCTATGGACGTCAGTGTGTCGCATTGAGGATCGGAAAGCCGCCTCTACTGGCTGTCAGGGAGACAGCCACTAGAGGCTGGATTAACCCTCAATGTAAATATAGCAGTTTCTCTGACATTGCTATGTTTACAGCTGCAGGGTTAGAACTAAGGGGACCTGGCACCCAGACCACTTCATTAAGTTGAAGTGGTCTTGGTGCCTTTAGTGGTCCATAAGAGTTATACAGCTATAATTTAGAGAACAATGAGTAATGCTACAAACTATTTAACCTTTATTTTAAATCGTTTAACTTTATTGATCACCAAGTTGCCAGTCAGACTTAGATGACCTGGCTGCCTCTAATTTAAAACCATCTACTACCATATCCTTCCTCAGAACTTGACCTCGAGGATGACTTTTGCCCCAATGCTTTATAACACCACGGTAAATACCTGTAAAGAAAAACACTTAAAAAGGGGGAAGGCGGGACCTCGCTGCTCCGGACTTCCACAGTTCTCTTGCTTGTGATCTGCATCTAATCCCCTGCCACCTCATGTCCTCCTAGCAACAGTCTGCCTAGCTCTGTCTTACAACATTAACAGGGGTCATAGACTTGACCTAACTCCTTATAACTATAGGACAAGGGCAGGTTAACCCAACACATATATTCTACAGAGCTGAATGCCTGACATTTCCTCTTCTTCTCAATAACTCAATAAAAAGTTGTAACAATACCATTTTTATTGGGGGGAAAAGCACGTCAATCAACTCTGCTAAAAGATTAACGTATAAAACCAAAAAAAACTATGGGATATAGTGGATTGGCGCTATACAAAAAGTGCAATTGCAGCTCCCCTAGTGTCTATAATTACTCACAAGACCCTCATATATAAAATCACAAGTAGTATGAAAATACAGGGTGCGCAATAAAATCACCAACACAGTGAAATATACTTCGTACTTGAAAAATTCTAATGGTACACCTGATTAATCTGAAAACCAGAAAAGCTCACATAGCATAATACTGTTTGGTCTTATAAACAGATTAGAAACAGAGGTGATGGGTCACCACTTCCCAGAGCCACATATAGCCGGCTCTGGCTGTGTTGGCTTGTCAATCTGCTTTTGGTGTAAATCTCAATCCTGTAGTATCTACCTCCACAAATAAAAACTTGATGTATAATAAATTTGATTTACTTAAAAATCATGTGCAAAATACAGGAATAAATAGCAGCAGGATATTGCACAACACGTTTCAACCTTACGGTCTTCTTCAAGGTGCATAAGTCTGTTTATAAAGGGTTCAATCTGGTAATTGAATTTGAAGCCACTTTTTGGAATATTCCCTGTCACTTCCGGGTTCTGTCTGTGTTCTGTGTTTGGGCATCAGTCTTTTTGTAATTCCTGCCAATTTTATTAAACCACATGGAATGTGCAGTGCATGGGGCAGGTACCGTATGCTGTAGCTGTCATATAAAACTATATGCTTATCAGATGCTTGACAAAGACTGTGTAGGTCGAAACGTTGTGAGTGGCAGTGGGTTCAATAAATTTGCCATTTTGTATCCTGGAGTGCCTGTACCTTTTTTCTATTTTTCTTTATCAAGTATTTGGTCCCTGGTACTGGGACTGGCCTGGTTGCACCCAGATACATGTTACTTGGGTTTGAGTGCAGTTCCACATCTCTATTATGATTATATCATCAGATGCTGTGACACTGAGCAGATCATTTCTTTTCCATGAATCCGTTGAATTCTCCTTGATCTTTCTGTCCTGCAGGCACTTCTTATCATCTCCTTTGCACAGCCGTCAGGCCACTGCCAGGCTCTGTGTGTAATTAAACCAAGCCTGACTGTGCTGTTACTAACTGTAGCAAGATTTTTAATGAGACGGAGAGATTAGCTTTTACACTTCAACGAGAGATGATCTTCATATAACACCTTTTATGAGGACTCTGGGGAAGTCAAGGGAATCTGATTTTTGTAATTTACGTATCTGAGAAAAAAAAAAAATTATTTTATTTGTTCAGTCTTTTTTCTTTTTTTCTTTTAATAGCATAAAAGGTTTATATTCTTTATGTAGAAGAGCATTGGAAGACTGTGTATTGATTTTTAAAAATTTTTTTTTTTTTTTCACCGAAGTGCATCTTATTTTAACCCCTTAAGGATGGCGGGCGTTCTATGCCGTCCTTAAGGAAGCGGCTCTAAACACCGCAGGGCAGCATAGAACGCCCAAACCGTCCTTTGTACTTACCCGGGAGCCAAGGGAGTCCCCCTCCTCTTTGCCCCCCCGGGCCATGTGATTACAACGACGATATTGTCAGTGAAAGTGACCTTTTTTTTTTTTTAATTTTTCACACCCAAATGGCACTTACACGGACAATATAATTGTTGGTTTACGTTTTACCGTTTTGAAACACTAATTTCTGTTCAGTCTTTTTTAGTTGCCACTAAGTCACAAACACTGGCCAAAATTGACGTTCAAATTAGTTTTTTGCATTTTCAAGAATTAACACTAATTTTGGCCAGTGTTTGTGACCAAGTGGCTACTAAAGACTGGGCATACCCCATTTGCAATACCTTGGGTTGTCTACTTTTGCAAATGGTATGTCATCATGGGGGTAATTCTCATTCCTGGGCTACCATACGGTCTCAAAGGCAACGTAACCAATCTGGCAAATTTCAATGGGAAAAAAATGAAAAATGTAACATGCTATATTTGACCCTGTAACTTCCCAAAACACCATAAAACCTGTACATAGGGGGTACTGTTTTACACGTGAGACATCGCTGAATACAAATATGTGTGTTTTATTGTATTAAAATCAAACAGTATTATGATATTCACAGTTAGAATGTCACATAGAACTAAACATTTTTTTTTAAATTCTTATTTTCTCCCTTTTTTTTGTGTGGGTACACATAAAATGAAAGAGGTGAATTACGCCTGAACAGACATATAGCGCAAATAAAAATGTTTGTTTACGTTTTGTTTTGATTACAACGTGTACATTTGGCTCAGTCCTTAAGGGGATAATGTTACTGTCCTATTCATGTGTGATTTGACACATCACAGTGATTGCTGTGGGGTGTCATGCCTGTGTGGTCCCTCCAGATGGGGCCATAAAATGTGGGAAGGACTTTGTTTTCGTTATTATGTTTTTAAGTAAGAATTTCTTTTTTCATTGAACAGTAATGTATAATATGTGTTCACTGTTCAAACTAAAATAGTCTCTTTTCTAGGCCACCAAGGCGCATATTAAGCTGAACACCAAAAGACTATACCAGGCAGATGGTTACGCTGTAAAGGAACTCCTTAAAATCACCTCTGTGCTCTACAATGCTATGAAAACCAAGAGCATTGAAAGCACCCATCTTGGCGACGACGAAACGGTCCCTTACAAGTTTGACTTGGGTTCTAAAGTAAGTAATCGGATCTGAATTCTGTAGGGGGATCAGTGCATTACAGAATTGGTAATATCTGTGCATTACAGAATTTTGTGTGCGTGAAAAGCACTTGCTTCTCTTATAAAGAGAACAGCATATAGTTCAATCGCTGCCGACCAGTCATGCCGTTGCTATTGGTGATACTTACTAATTTAAATGTTAGAACAACAAGCTGTGCTGACCTGGAGAACTGTGAGGGTAGGGGATAATCAGCCTGCAATATTAATTTCTGGGTTACAAATTTCCTCTTTGAGGAGAATCTGAGCATTAATTTCAAGTTTTTGAAAATGCCACATTGACATGCTGCTCTGCAAGCTTGTTCTTATTGAACCATCGCACACCGCAGCCAATCAAAATCACCGAAGGGAAAGAAAGAAGTCTGCAGCTACCTCTCACTGCTCCTGTTCAGAGAAACCCTGGTTTTGGATTACATTGATAAAAATGATCTGGTTTAACAATTTGTGGACAAGTCCATCAGGGTTATTCACTAAGCTGTGAATTGTCAGCCAGGACCAGATTAGCTGACGGAATTAAATATGGGAATTTAGGAGGGAGGTAGAGGAACAAAACTTGTGTGGACTGGCTGACCATAAATTAGTTAAGGTAACGCTGACTCACACACTGTGCCAATGCTCTTGCTGCTTCAGTCTGTCTAACAGTGTGGCATATCCTCCTAATTCTACATTCACTACATCCACCTTTTTCTCTGTGCCAGACTGCATACCAGCTGCTAGTAAGAAGGGAAGGAGGAGGGAGGGGTGGACAAGTGGATCCTGGGGGATACCTGGGAGCTGTCCCCAAAAAGCGTAGAGTTAGTGCATCATTAGACACGTTTTTGCCAAGCTCAGGGTGCTGACTGCCTAGTCTGCTGTTAGATGGCCAGCCTCCGTCAATGGCAAGCAATCTGACATGCATTCATGCCAGACTGACCTTCCAATTCTTGTTCCTGCTTCCTTATTTCCGTGCGGTCTACCCCATTGTGGAGTGCCAGTGACCTGATTTGCGCCACTGGCCCACCTCCTTTTACCACACCCATCAATAACAGGATGCCGATGCTAGGGGTATGGATATGGCTGAGAGATTAGCATAAGGTATGTGTAATCTTATAGCTGCATCCTGTGAGTTTCCCTCCGGCACCACCTGCATCAGATACAGGACACTTCGGAGGTATGACTGTTTTAGTGTTTTCTATCAATTAGGTTCTGTAGTTAGTCTCATTGTTATTTGGCTCTTAATCCGGCCTGGTCAGCTATTCAGAGGGAATTTCAGGCCAAAGTAGCTGAATGAAAAATGTTCTCCAAATCACCTTTGTTTTCAGTTAACGGTTTTAGCCAAACACTTTAATAACTAACCTGCATATAGTGATGGTGCTTCACTAGTTCCAGAGGCAGCTACTAGTCATGTGTCTTGCCACACATTGTCCCTTAATTTCCTAGAAACCAATCTGATGGCTGGCACAGAATTCAAGAAGCAACTAGTAGGCTATGGTTGGCCACCCCAATCCTGCTGAGTGTAATAAATTATCTGTTTGGATATTTTTCTAGTGGATATGATTGGTTACACATTAGTACTATTTACTCTTCTGATGCCAGTGGGAGAAAGCAACCGCAATTCTAGCTTCATTAATTAAAGAGCGATATCTTTACACTGGGACATGCTTTTTCCCTACACCCTCTAAACGTCCTGAGTCTCACCCTGTCCCTCTCTCCTCAGATTGCTGACTTGAAGATCGCCAGGCAGCTGGCGTCTGAAATCACCTCTAAAGGAGCTTCACTGTACGACCTTCTAGGCAAGGAGGCTGAGCTCAGAGTAAGTATGAGAGCGAGATACAATGTGTACTTGGAAATATATATTATTATTATTACTACTACAGCAAATCGTTCACATTGGAGGTTATTATTGAAATATTCACATTTCATACAAAATATTTTCACATAATTTCCTACCTTATCTAAAGCAGATGTTCTGAACAAACTGTGTCCCTATTAAAGTAGATTTTACCTCATTTCCTTGTCTTAGCTGAACTTGTAAGCTACCTGATTGAGTCAGTATGGAAACCTTTACCTGGAAACCTGCTGTGTTACTCTTCGAGCCTCTTGGTTCTGCAAATGTTTTTTTTCTCTTCCTATGTTGATTGGCTCTGCTGTGGACAGAACGGGACTGCCCTAATTCTTCCATCTACACATGAAGTGCCAAAACTTGTTGGCCAATTGGTTGCCAGGTCTTCAGTTAAAACCGCAATTCTCTGGCCAAGTGTGTTGCATAGCCCGTTCTCCCTTGCCTTAGGGTTATGTCACATGTATTGGCTTGGAATCTACACGTTTTACGAACGTGTGATAAATAGGAGATGCTAATTTTTCTTTCAATCTTATTCTGTTATCTAATTTAATTTGAGCGAGAAATCTGCAAAAGTGCATGAGCTATGACTGTACAGAAAAACGCTTTATCCACTTCTTCTTTTTCTTCTTCTTATACAAACTCCTTACATTATAGAGTTTCTATTTTGAGTATTGGGGTTAACTCTGTATTTTTATTCTGTGACCTTATTGCATTTACTGTGGCTGTTCACACACTGATCAATGGTAGAGAAAATGTGTAATTAGGCAACTGAGCTTAAGCTGCACAGGAGAAGAAGCGATAATACACACAGCCTGCCATGAACATACCACAAGCTCATTACTCACACCGCCTAACGAGCTAAACCTCTGTGTGATGGATTGTACAGTATCCACTCCTGTACATCTCAAGACCTCCCCCCACTGAGAAAGCTTTTTAAATAGCTAGCATACAGAAGTAACGAGTTCTCAGGGACGTCAGAGGATGCGATCTCTCGGGTATTGGGACTGTAAGATGATCAGACAGTGAGGTTTATTATCATGTCAGAGGCACAACTGTTGTAACCTGAATTTTCTGTGAAATGACATTCTGCGACATTCCAAGTAATTTTTTTTTTTTAATTAAGATATCTTTTTAACCTGTACGAAATCAAACTTGGTTATTCATCTGGCTAGATGTGGCTCCCCCAGAGGTTTTTTGTTTTTACTAGAACCCATAGGTTGTATTATATTGCATGATAAATGTAATAGAGAAAGTCCCCAGGCTTTACTTCTCAGTGGAATACAGAACTCTACTGCTAATACTCTTAATACAAAGCTCTGTTCCTAATAGAAAATCCCAACGGTTAACTGCAGGATCTTTGAAGCCTAGTTATGACAGTAGAACCATAGTTTGGTGTCCCTTGCCATGACTGTTTAGTGTGTAGGGAAGTCGATCAGTTTTGATACTTTAATTTTGACACCTTTTTATTTGAACCAGAAAATCACTGAATCTCACATGAGTACAAGATAACCATCATTATCAGTGTTCTTCCCCATCACTTCTGGACTTTAAAGATTAGTGAGGCACTCTTGACTCTTGTAGATTGTAAAAAAACAATTTCTGAATTCAGTTGTTGGACACATAACAAGCTAGCCTTGGAAGAAATTAATCTTTTTGGAGGAGCCTCACGGGATATATGTCTTTTCAAGCCACTCCACTGTAATAGTTTTGATATCTTTAAAAGATTCGATTTGCCCTCTTGCCACTTAGAAATCTTAGGTTGGCTTTTAAATACTGTATACTGTAGATCATAAGAAGAGACCGGTGATTCACTGTTGGGCGAGTCATGTCAGCAGCTCAGCTCACACTGACCTCACATTGACTGAGATGTGTATATACATTGTGTACTTCTAAACAGGAAGACTTTGTTAAAAGGGGAGGCTTAGTAAAGGGGACAGACTTACACTGCATTGTGAAGGTAAACTAGAGAGTCTTAATGTGACAGAAGATACAACATGAACCTAGGTCCTGGTTCCATATGATTAACAGAGGGATGTACTAGAAACCAAGAGATGGAATTGGAATGGGTTTAGGAAGCCATCACATGTTAGTGTGGCTAGTGTTGTGTACATTTCTTATAAGCCATAGATTGGAAATATGTTCACAAACTGCATGTGGGTAATATTTACAGTAATAGATACAAACAACAAACCCTAACATACAAAATTAAACCACCGCTCAAACTCCCATAACTCTGGGCAGCAGCAATGACTATCGTACACATCAGCCCCAATACGTACAACAAAGAAAAATTAGCTTGCGCTTTATCCCGAATCCCTATGCACATTTGCCTTAATCCCATCAATTCCTGAATATAAGTTTTGCAAATGTGCGTAATTGTGTTCATTGCATTTTCCTAATTAACACAACAAATCGTAGCTCATTGTTTAGACCTCAGATCCATTGCCGCAGCGTTCAGCTATCTGTGTCACATTCGCAACACTTGCACAACCTTAACTCTCTAGATAATTTGAGTGCAAACACAATGATTTGTGGGAACTAGTTATCATACAGCCAGAGGGTTTGTTCATACTGGCGGTTGTTAAATAGTTAAGATATTTATTCTCCTCTGAGATTTGTATTAATGCAGCAGTACTCAAGTGTGCAAACATGACTGTCATCCCTTTTATGAATAGGATCTGGGCATATCAGTGTTCTCATATAGTGACAGGATCTTGTTTCTTTCACACTGTATGCAGCTGTCAACTTTCTGCATGACATTAAGAGCGCTGCTTACGGTTCTCAGTTAGAGAAACCATTTTATAATAATAAGGATAATTTAAACACTTTGTATGATACATTTTGTAGATTAAAGTAAAATATATTATTCATAAATTCTGATGCCTAGGGCTAGATTTTTGTGAGTGTGTACCAGCCACCTAAAACAAGTTAATATTAATCAAGTAATGTTGGGTTCCAATTTGAAAAACAAATCTATTTCAGGCTACCTGCCATTATGGAATGACATTAAAAAAAACAACATTCCCATGTTCCCATGTTTTACACACCAGGGATTTCCTGCCGAGTTTAGATGTTAGAAGGTACACATTCTCTTAACCTGTATGTGCCTAAGACATTCTGAACATACAGCAAGGAATGATCTAATCACATTTGATGTTCTAGCCTCTTGGGCTTTTCTGACGCAGGGAGATGTTTTTAGATACCTGCACTTTCGTAATTTCATTCAAAAATCTGAGATTCTCCAAGCTTTTAAACAAGCCTTGACCTATTTTGAGCGCTAGCCTGAGTACACTGGAAAAGGGGCATGTTTCCTTGGTAGATTGGGGAAGGGGGTTAAATGGAGGAAATTTGAGAAACCAATACAAATTTCTAATCTGTAAAATTCCACAATAACCAGCATCTACAGCACTTCTGAGAAGATATGCGACTTCTTAGTATGCTACATTTTGTGGGTGTTGCAGGCAAAAAAAACTAAAATTCTAGCCCCCAATTCTCTGATGTGATTTACAGTTGGTGGAGAAATAGGAAAAAGGTGTAAAAATAAATAAATAAAATATCCCAAATTATCAGCCAATCAGATGGGGCATGGTGTGTAAGTAAATAATACTGTTTTACCATCTAAAGTCCTAAATTACCCCTCCTCCCATTTCTCTGCCATTGAAGTTGTCCTTCTAGTCCGGGGGTCAGCAACCTATGGCACTCAAGGTGTCTTTGCACGGCACTCAAAGCTGTCAGAGCCAAACGGGCTCTGGCCTATCAAAAGTCCCAGTGGAACTTTAGATATCTGCTTGTTCAAACTGAGCATTGATTGTAGGTATTGAGGAACAATCCTCAATTTACGCATTGCAGCACATAGAAGAAGTAATCTCAAATCAATTCTTCCCAGCACTTGTGAACAGGAATCCGCACTGGAGTGGTCAAGGGCAGCTTCTACCCTTGACATGTACCTGACCATCCCAGTTCCTACACTGCTACATGTACACAGAGCTGCAGAAGAAGCCCTACCTCATCATAAATAATACAATCAGCTAGTACACAAACACACAAAAACCACACCATTGACAATCCACATGCACCGACATAACACCACTAGCAGACTCACATGCAATACCACAGCAGCCCGACACATATACACACAATGTGACATATTAACACACACACACACACACACAATTCCTCAAGCAGCCGCCATACATAGCCCACATTCATAGGTATCATACACAATACCACATCGAATCCTGAACCTATGCAATATAACAACCCACATACAACCCATAAATAACACAAGCACAATACGGCAACATACAGACCTCAATTTACAAACTAGGACTGGCACGCCAAGGAACTTTAAGATCTTGTTTTGGCACAATAAGACTAAAAGCTTGCCTACCCCTGTTTTAGTCTTTCAAAACGGATGCAATACCTTGTTGCAACTATGTCATGCAATTGTATTCCTTGTGTATTGTTCTTTATATACTATTCTTAAAAAAACTATCTTTAAATAATAAATACATTTAAAGACTTTACCCCAAATAACCCCCATACAGAGCCCAGCTGCACCTCTCCACTCATACATAACAATGGCCACCCACGTTTTTTAAAATTCATTCTTAGATGAAGGATAAAGAATAATAAATGGTCTTGCTTTGCACTCTGTATATTTTGCAAGCTCCGATTACAAGTCAGAAATGGCTGTTTGTCTGTCTGTTGATTTTTCTATACCCTGCATTCTTTTATAAAAATATTTTTTGTAAAAGCCTTTAAATTGTAATACAATAATAACACTCATTGATACCGTAGTATAGAAAGGTGCCCACTTGACACTTTTAGAAGCAAGATCTAGAATGCATTAGTTAAACATACTGTTTTGTTTAAACAAAAGGTGTGAGATACGGGTGTTTTCTTGGTGTAGGTGTAATGTTCTGTGCTGATGTTCAGTAGACGAAGAGCTTTGCCTTTTTTCTTTCAGGAGCTGAGAACAGCAGCCATCGCTCGACCCCTTGAGATAAACGAGACAGAAAAGGTCCTAAGGACATCCATCAAAGAAGTGCTGGTAAGTGAGTCAGAATGTCTGAGTTGCTAAAGTACTGTACTAAACAGACATACAGCTCAATCAAAGCACTTTAATTCACTTTAGTATTTGTATAATGATAAGCCACAGAGCGCATTCCCATGGACCCATTATCCTCCGAACGTCTGTGAAGATGCACAGGAGTTATGGGTGTTGCAATCCTCTCCTGGTTGGCACCAGCTGGGCAGGCTGGCAATATAGATTTTATTTTTTGAGAACATGGTGGCATGTAGCATGTAATACATCGTACATAATTCTACACATGTTGAATTACAAACATTTGTGTATCACAACATCCACAATATATGGAGAGAAACATACAACTCAGAACAGTAAACTTTAGAAATCACTTTTTGTGCAAAATGCTATCTCATATGGAAATGCCCCATCCTTCTGTGCCAGTGATATTTATCTAACTTAGTACTGTATATGTACCTGGGGAAGTGCTACAACCAAACAAACAGCACATTACATATAACTTCAGTTAGACACTTTGCAAAGTGATCACATATTTAGTATTTAACCTGTGTAATATTGTACACGTTGGGGTTTATGAAGAGCTGGTACACCAGAACAGTAGTTTTGAGTTAAATTTGCGGACATGCTGTGAAACGTGTTGGGGAGCTGTGTGTGGGATGAACGCAATGTATATAAATATATTTAAAAAGGAAAACCATTTACATTGCATGTGCACAATTAAAAGGCTTTGAAATGCCTTTGTTCAGTTTTTACCTGTTTGATTGTACCTCTCTTCACCCGAACTCCTGAACGCTTTCAAGAAACATCTGAATTATGGAAGGAGCAAAAGATAAAATGCATTTTATATATATATATATTATATTTGTGTTAATTTTTGCTCCTTCCATAATTCAGATTTTTCTTGAAAGTGTTCAGGAGTTCAGCTGCACAAACTTCGAAGGTGTGTTTTTTTTGTTGTTTGTTTGTTTGTTAGTTTAATTTTTTTCAGGTGGCTTTATTGATTTTTATGTAATAAATTCAAAATGTGTGCAAATGTTTTATAATCTCAAAAACCGTGAGACCAATCAGCATTTTTCCTGCTGTGGAGGCCGTAGGTAGTTTTTCCTTTTAAAGGAATAGATTATTTGTCATTTCCTACCCATATCCATGGTTTTTCTACCCATTTAAGGTTCATTTCCATTTAAATGGCCTGGTTCTAATATTGATTCAGAGTAAGCACTTGGTGTTGTGCGAAACACGTCAATGTGATATTTTGCCGTCAGTTGGTTTCCCAATTGTTCTTTTGTTGCTCTTTTTCAGATTTGTGCACTTTTGTCTTTTTACTTGATTGGAGAAATAAACAGAACATTTTAATCTATAACTTTTCGTGCTACTTTACCTGTAGATCTGCCCGTTCATTCTTTTTTTTTTTTCATATCCTACCTAGCAGTATGGGCCAGTGATGTACATAATGTGCACATCACTGGTCCATACTGGCAAATCCTCATAAGGCTGTTTTTCTCATATCTTGTACCCAAGGAACAAGTCCAGAAGATGAAGGACTTTATAAGTAACAGTGCATCTGACGAGGCAAACCTGGAGTCCAAAATTGACAAACGGAAGCAAGAGCTGGAGAGAACTCAGAAACGACTGCAAACTCTTCAGACGGTCAGGTGAGATAAGGATCCGGTTATGTCTGTCATTAATTGTTCTTCTGGGTTTTCACTGTGCAGACAGTGTCCTTGAGATCAGGAGAGGGTCATAAATTTGTTTTAAAGGAAAGCTACATACAAGTATTGATTTTTTTTTTTTACTCGAGTTTTGCAAGCATGTATTTTCTGTGAACAGTTTACACGTTTACTGACATTTAATTACTCATTTGTGTATTCGTGTAAAGTCGCAGTAATGATAACTGGATATCAATATTCCAGTATAAAATGCTGACGTTCATTCTAGACATTCACTGACTGCATTCATATGTAAGTTTAACCATTCACATCCTCTAAATCTGAATGGTTAGGAAGAAATGCTTTAGGTTCCATCTGTTGGCCTGTGATAAACAATAACATTGAGTAGTTTTCGCTTGCCAACTGCTCCAAATGTACCCAAGACAATGACTGAACTTCAAGTAACACAAGATTTAAGTAATTTGTTGTGTGTGTTTTTACAGACCAGCCTTCATGGATGAGTACGAGAAGATAGAAGAGGAGCTTCAAAAACAGTATGAAGTTTATATAGAGAAATATCGAAACCTCTTTTACCTGGAACATCTGCTAGAAGAACATCACCGTAATGAGCAGCTTCGGTTCGAGGTGAGAAATTCTGTAATGGAATCATGTCACTGCCAGCGGGGTCTACAAGCTCCCTGTGTCGTTTAGGTAGGATCACACAAACAATTCAGCCCTCTTCTAGGGCAATGGCATGTACCCGAAACATAAAGAATTGTCACTGGTTGGAGTTACTGCCATCATTAGGCATTGCGTCTTTGTTTGCAATTGGATTTTTCTATTTTATTTATATATTCACTTTTATAGTTGACCCAAACAGAAGATGAGGTTCTCAAGAGTAATTGTTAGGGGGGCTATACGTTTAGGACCTGAGGAGTGGGCATCTTTTGGTTCTATATTCGGGAAGGAGACCTTAGTGTTGGGACCAATGGACTGGGTTCTGCAGCACAAGTGATGTATGAAAGAGTAGGGCTATTTACTGGTTCTAATCACCCCCCATACCCAGTGACATAGGGTATTTGTCGCTCAGGAGGCTCCTTGAGTGTTCTTAAACCTCCAAGTACTTATTTATTAGGGAATACTATTGGGTTATGCACTGTCTAGTTTCAAACAGAGCATGGGCAATAATCATAAGTTTCCTCTGGCTAGACCATCAACAACCTATATTTATTTTTGTTAATCTTTGCTATATGTCATAAACAAATTGCAGAACTGTTGTCAGCAAAAACAAATAACCCTGCAATTTTGTTAGCAAATTTGCTCTTACTGCCCACTTTTTATAATATTAGATCCTTTACAAAAAAAACCCCAAGAACAGGTAAGGAAAAAGGTTAGTGCTATTTTCTAGAATGGGAAATTGAATCCAAAATCGGTTGCTTAGTTCATGGTCCTACACTCCCTTCTTTTAAGCACTTCTATATCTAAAATGTGCCAACTGGTTCCTATCTGCCATTCCAATTCATATGTCTCTTGTTTTCGTTCATCAATCAGTGAATATAATATTTAATACCCACTTCCTTTGTCACCAGAAAGCAAGTTAATTTTGTCTCTCAGTATGAGACTGCCACTCAAATCCATTGATGTATTCATACATGCTTCATTGACATGCACATTTATTTAGCACTCTTCCATATAAATTTTTTTGCATAAACTCAACTCATTTTTTAAAATATATTTGGCGCTCTCAGAATTTTTAAATTTTTTTTAAACCCTTTTACTTCCTTTTTTCCTGAGAAAGGGCCATGGCTATATATACCTATGGAAATCGATTTTAAATAAAAAAAATCCGTAAAAGAAATGAAGTCTTCATATTGCCTATTGCTCCTGCTCATACTTGTGAAATTCTATCCCTGCCCACATCTTCAGTTTGGGAGTTTATTCCATCTCAATGAAAACACCCACTGACTGTCCTGTGTCTCTTTACACTCTTTCATCTCACCTGTCAATCCAGCTGGACCCTCGCTATAAATTACGGCGAATGATGCTCCTTGGATGGCAGTGATAGTCTAGCTAACAAAATGCTCCTAACCTATCCTTGATGTCTGCCCCAGGCTCAGCCTGTCATTGCCGGCCAAGGTTGGACAGATTTGTAGTTTATAATCTGGAAGTGATGTTTCTGTATTATCAGTGCAGCTAGAGACGGGGAGGTTATGGGTGCTAAGGAGAGCCCTAGTTTTTGCCAACCGCTCTAAAATGCCATAATAGAACTGCACCATAACTACTCCAGCTCAGTATAGTGCTTGTGGTGATACAAGAGCTAATTTCTTTAACTCTACTTTCTGTTTGTCAGAACTTGGTTACATAGCTTAAAGTAACAGAGTGAGAACCTGTATCTGTATGTACAAAGGTTACAAATAAAAAAGCGGCACACACATTTAATACTTGCTCTGCAATCATTTCATTTCTAAGTGCTATGTAGGTAGACTATAAATAGGAGTACAGTAAGTATCCCTGATTCTAAAGGGCTTCCTGACCTATAATTATTTTTCTCCCTGGTAAATCACTAGGCTGTCATTTATTGTATTAAATTGTTGGTGCATTGTAATGTCGTTCCCCTCCATTCTCTGCCTTTTGCAGTGCTGAGCAATCAATGTCATTGTGGCACTTCACAAAGATGTCATCTCCCCACCCACCTTTCTTCCTTCCAATTACTTCCATTGATATGTGTTTGGTCTGTTGTGTTTGTTTTTTCCTCTTTTTTTGTTTCTCGCCTACATGATTGATTCTATTAATACAAATACCAAAGTATCAGTAGTTTTGTAGATTAAATTATAGCCTATAAAGCTTTACGCTGTATTTCTTCAAGCTTACTGTCACAGCGGTGCTAAAACAACATAGAAAATTGAAAGGAGTTTTCATTAAAATAAATCAATGTTTGTATGTTTTTGTTTTTGCTCTGTGCCATATTTATTCTCCATTTTAACACGTAGGCTTTGAAGATGACTAGAAGTCAGAGCCTTTGTTTCCCAACTGTATTGCTGCAGGGGCATAGCTCAGGTGACGCACCTGTCAGAATTACTTGTTAGTGCTCGGCTGGTTAAACTTAACTGAAATGTGACATTTTACTGTAGCCTGAAGATACACATGATAAACAATGGTATAAAGACAATAGTGAGGTAAAATTCTGAATTGTGCGCTGGGAGCAGACCCGCCTGAAAGGAATCTTCTACCTCTCAAAGTTTTCATGAATCAAAACGAATTCCTTTTAGTTTAAGGTGATGTGTAGTAGTAGTAGTACCTGTGTGTGGATTATTACCTGTATGAAATGATATTTCGGTACATTGTGGATAAGAATGGCAGCTAGTATAGATCCTGGAGATGTTACAGTTGTGTTCTCTAAATCTAACGCTGTCATTTCCAAGTGATGTCACTATAATCTGGCCTTTTGCTTATCCTAGGGACAGACTTGAAGGACATTTCTATAAAATAAACAATGAAGAAATACATTTATACTTTATATGCGTCAGAATATACTTTATTGTTTTTACTTGACTTACTAAAAGAACATCTGTCCCCTCATAAATATGGTTTAATATAATAATTATTTTATCAAGTTTTTAGAGAAAATATATATTTAATTTTAATGAAGTATATGTAAAAAACCTCTCCCTACCTTTAGTCTATGACAGGATCCTTCAGCCATATATATATGCCTCGGGTATACTCGCACACAGACTCGCACACAAACACACATCACCATCATAACTTCCATTTATCGGAAACGTGTTCAAATTCTCACGTTATGACACCTGTGATCACATAATAAATACGGACATGCACAATATTCTCGGTCTAGTGAATAAACACGTGTGCACGTCTGTATTTGTTATGTGATCACAGGTGTCATAACGTGAGAAATTGAATACGTTTCCACTAAATGGAAGTTATGATGGTGATGTGTGTTTGAGTCCAGCATCTTGGTTTAAACCAGCTGATTCCAGAATTGTAATGTTCCACAAACTGCATGGATTACCGAGGCTTGACATATCTGCATTATTGTTCATTCCCAGGAGATGCAAATTGTGTACAAATCAGACCATCTGACAAATATCTTTTTTTAGTCGTGAGGCTAAATTCAGAAGGAGAAAGGCAATTTTCTTGCTGTGCTGCAAACTGTAGGCGATGTAAATAACCCTGTGCAGTTATAAATATCTTGGCTAGGGAAGCAGTGAAGCCCTGGAGCCTGGATTCACTATATTTGCCAGCCAGAGATTCACAGCACTTCTAAGATCCGGACTGTCAGGTTGATGCTGTGCCTTCTCCTCTAGGCAGATCTTAAGTGCTGATCATTGTGTCCACATGATTGAACCTATCTTATTAAATTCCTGCTCTGCTGACTGAGCACGAGTCAATGCATCTCTTCCAACGGTGTGTCCAAGTGTATGATTTAAGCTGTTGCTGTCATCCTTGTGTCTCCTGCCGCAGAGGGAAGGATGTTGTTTTTCAGTCCATTATTTAGTGGGGTTAAAGTTTTCAGATGGATGAGATTTAGAGATAGATGAACGTACTTACAAAGAAAAAAAAAACATGTCCATCCCTGCCTATATTATGTCACCTGTCTGCAATGGTGTGATGTTACAACCGTGACTCCTGTCCTTAAAAAGACACTATACTCACAAAAGCAACTTTAGCTTGATGTATCAGGTTTTTTTAAATAGATCATGCCTCTTAAGTTTTATTTCTTAATTCTCTGCCATTTGGGAGTTAAATCCCGTTTGCTTCTGTTTATGCAGTCGCTGACACAGCCTGCATGGAAACAAAATGGTTTCTCCTACTCTTTAAATTGAACTTGAATTGCACACAGGAGGCTCCTGCTGGGTCTAGCAAGCTATTAACAGAACAGGAGATGAGAAGAAATTCAAAATTAAACAGAATTTTCAATACAGGAAGTGAACATTAGATGACTCTTTACAGGAAGTGTTTAGGAAGACTGTGTAAGTCACATGCAGGGAGGTGTGACTAGGGCTGCATAAACAAAGTGATTTTACTCCTTAATGGCAGAGAATTGAGCAGTGAAACTGCATGGGCATAATCTATACACCAAAACTGCTTCATTAAGCTAAAATTGTTTTGGTGACTATAGTGTCCATTTAATATAGTCACATAGAAACATAGAATGTGACGGCAAATAAGAACCATTCGGCCCATCTAGTCTGCCCAATTTTCTAAATACTTTCATTAGTCCCTAGCCTTATGCCTATCCCACGCATGCTTAAAGGACCACTATAGTGCCAGGAAAACATACTTGTTTTCCTGGCACTATAGTGCCCTGGGGGTGCCCCCACCCTCAGGGTCCCCCTCCCGCCTGGCTCTGGGGAGAGAAAAGGGGTTAAAACTTACCTTTCTCCAGCGCCGAGCGGGGAGTTCTCTGCCTCCGATCCTCCTCCTCTCCTCCCATTCGGCTGAATGCGCACGCCTGAAGATGAGGTCTTAAAAAATCTAACATTATTAATATAACTAGTTGGCCAGTAAAGGTATAAAATAGCTGTGCCCACTGGTGCAAGATATTGCGGTTGTGGAGCACACCACTCCATAGGGCGTCAATATAATTATATATTTATCATAGATTCTATAATATGCAGTAGTTGTGTGGTTACATTTCATTAATGAAAAGATTTGTGGTGTTTACTTTACATTATTAATAAAGAGTTATAGCTCTTCTGCACTCACCATTATACTCGCAGTGAGAGACCCTTCATACAATAAAGCTAAGGGATACAATCTGACAGATACATAACAGGGATTGTAACCGTAGTTCTTTCTGTGACTTGCCATCCATTAAAGGGTTACTGTAAGTACTGTAACCACTTCAGCTTGATTGTTATAGTGTGATAAGTTGGCCTGTGTAGTGTTTCTTTTTGCTCCCATTCCCAAGGGGACCCAAATATTTCTCTTGTCAAAATGCTGATGACATTACTGTGTTCATTATCCTTTAGGAAGCGGAGGACACACTGCGCCAGATGCAGAGCAAGCTAAGGGAAGAGGAGGACCGGCTGCAGAAGACCGGAAGTGAGTATAATAAAGCATAATAGACCCCACGGTCTTTAACACAACGATTAGGACTTTCAGGAAGGCCCCACAATCATCTACTGAGGAGAAGGAAAATGTCTATTTCTAGTGTTTGTCATTGTTTATGCAGTCATAGCATCCTTTTATGGAGATGGGAAAAGTCCAAGAGAACTTTGAATGCCATTTGAGACCATGGATAATTTTAAAGGGATACTGTAGTTGCCAAACACCTTTTAGCCTAATGAAGCAGTTTTGGCGTATAGATCAAGCCCATGCAGACTCACCGCTCAATTCTCTGCCATTTAGGAGTTAAATCACTTTTGTTTCTGTTTATGCAGCTCTAACCACACCTCTCCTGGCTGTGACACGCCACCTGCATGAAAAAAATGGATTCATTTGCAATCAGATTTAACTTCCTTTAGAAGATTTTTCTCCTGCTCTGTAAATTGAACTTTAATCACACATAGGAGGCTCATGCAAGGTGTTGCAAGCTATTGGCAGAGATATGAAATTCTAAATTAAACAGAATGTGCAATAAAGGAAGTGTAAGCATTAGATATCCCTTTACAGGACGTTTTTAGGAAGACTGTCTAAGTCACATGTAGGTAGGTTTGACTAGGGCTGCATAAACAAAATGATTTAACTCCTAATTGGCAGAGAGGCTGCAGGGGCATGATCTATACACCAAATCTGCTTCATTAAGCTAAAGTGGTTTTGCGGACTATAGTGTCACTTTTAATTCTGTCTCCTTCCAAACACTCTAACCTTCTAGAAAATCTTCACCTAAAATTCAAGTTTCCTAGAAAAGATGCAGAATCCTAGAAGAGAGGAATTAATATCCCCAAGTCCATATTATTACTAGTTGTGTATACTAATTGAATGTACTTATCTAATAATAATAAAAATTGCCATGGGGGGGAGCGGAGCTTGCGCCTGAACCAGAGCATACGCCATCTACCACGGCTCTGCTGGAAATCGCCCAAAAGGCCTGATTTTGGAAACTAACCCGCTCACCTGCACGGGTAACCGACGGAACGCATACAGACCAGCCCCCGGTAACAACATATATGCGGTTTTTCCATGCTCCCAAAGCACCACGGAAGAAACACAGGTCTGTGGCCTACCACGCCACCCCAGACCTTAACTTGGCTGCAATGCTCTGTGGTTTCACACCCCAGACAGAACCTGCCTCCACAATGGGATGGCGGTCCCAGAAGCCTGACACTCCATCAGGGGCACGAGATATTGGGTCTCTGTTCCAGCGACTGCCCCAACCTAAAATGGCGCCGCCTGGGAGCAGCAGGCCATGGAAGCTCCCCTGGGCCCTTCACAGGCTGAAACAGCCACGCGGCCCGAGCTGCCGACCACTGAGCAAACCACACTGGCTGTCCCAGACAGGTCGGCTTCTGTTACCAAACAAGATTTTCAAAATCTGGTGGTGGAAAGTAAAAACCTATTGGCAGCTAATGTAGCTATAATAAAGGCCAACATGCAGGAGGTCACTGACAGAGTGAGAGCTGCAGAGGAGGACATTGTGGATCTCAAACAGGGTATGATCACTGTGCAGGACACCTTACAAACCTTACAAAACATGCAATAGTCTCTCACACTTCATTACACCGCACTAGATGACGATCTAGACGAAATCATCTGAACATTAGAGGCATACCTTACACTGTAACCTCAGAGGAGCTCCCTCATTACATGAGGTGCTTGGTGGCCTCCATCCTACCACCTACTCCCGCTAAAAAATTCACCATGGACGAGATCTACAGTCTCCCTAAGTCATAGTACGCTGTTCACTCTCCCAAGATAAACGACTCACTTGGTCAGCGCTATAAGGCAAGACACCTTATATCTTTGTAGGCTCAAGCCTCACCTTCCATCAGGACCTCACAAGTCCACCTTACAATGGCAGCGATCCCTCCACCCGCTAACAAGTCAACTGAGAATAGCTGGAATCAAGTAACTGTGGATGTCTCCCAGGATCCTAGTGGTCACCCATGAAGGGACAGTACACAAGATATCGCTTGCTGAATCTCCAACCCTACTCAAAGATTTGGGCCTCCCTACCCCAACGATTGCCAATGACGGGTGACCAAGCGCCCACATCTGGGACCCTTCCCAAGTTGTGCCATTTTTCCCTAGTGCCGGCTCTGTCTCACAACCAGGGACTTGAATACCTTATGGGGTGTATACCCGTTTGCAGATAATTTTGTTTTTTAGTTAGTCCTTATTGTTTCCGTGTTAAGTTCGTTTTATTAGTTAGGCGACCTCCTTAAAGGTACTACCATTCCCTGATCTCTAGCTCCTGGTATGCAGGCGCTATCCAGTATGTGTCTAGCTCCACACCTACCCACTCTCCACCTCTTCTACACCCTTGGTTAGGGGGACCACTAATAGACGGCCTGTTTATTAACCCTTAAAAGATGTAATCCTTGCTATCACTCACAACGAAATCCTAGGTCACCATCGTACCATCCTTTCATTCAGCCTGTCCCTTCCCTTCAATAAGCCCCTCCTGAATAATCATATTGATGATCGGTATCTCTAGGTATATGCATGTTCTTTTCCTACCTGATCTCTATTATATTCAGTTGCATATATGTTTTCTGTAATGCACGCTGTTGCTGTTATGGCAAGGCGATATAGCTTGTTGTTGTTTTTTTTTTTTTGTTTGTTTTTTATTCAATGCGCAACAAAATAAAGAATTGAAATAAAAAATAATTGCCATAGTCTTAGCATTTCTATCCATTTGGAAAATGTAAATGTACGTAGCACATGCGGTCTGTCTAAACCAAATCAGCAGTGGTTAAATAGCTGTTCTCCCTCATGTTTCTCCTTCAGGGACTAGAACCTGCATCCCTAGTTTAGAACAGACACTGCATTTGGTATATGATTCAAATGAGCTATCCCACATGCCACATTATTCAGAGGTATAGGGTAACAGACCCCAAATTGTCGACTCAGTGGTTTTATGCAGCGAGCGTGCTGCACTAGATCATAAAGTGTGAATCGGGCATGTCCGTCGGACAAACATTTAATAAGTTTCCCTATACTGCCTGGTCACCGGACGTCCTGTATACAAAGTCCACCTCCCTCTTTCTGTAACTTTGTTGCTTTCCTATAGATTGTAACCTTCTTTTCTGCCATTTCAGATAGTAATGAGGACACAGACAGCGAAATCCAGGAAGATGATGGGTCAGATGAAATGGAGGATGATGACAAGCGACCAATCAAACCTCGAGTTGGCCGTGGTGTCATGATGCAAGGTAGTGGGACAGTGGCAGTAAAAGGAAAATGGTGGCTGCTACATTAATGTAATGGATTCTCGTACCTGAAAGTGTTTTGGCACTGCTCCGTTTCCATTGATGTCTCCTCATCCACTGACTTCATCAATAGTGCAATAATGACACAGAGACATATAGACACACAGGCAGAGACATGCAGATACACAGAGACATACATACACAGTCACACGGAGATATACAGGTAGAGATATACACATATACAGGTAGAGATATACACATATACAGAGACATACAGGCATACAGACACATACATATAAAGGCATACAGAGACACAGACTTACATATAAAGGCATACATGTGTACAGAGACATACAGAGACACAGACATACAGGTGTACAGAGACACAGACATACAGGTGTACAGCGACATACATGCACACAGAGACATAGACAGACATACATACATATAGGCACAATAACATACCTACAGGTCCGTGGTGTGCATGCAGCTCAGCCTCATCATAGGGCACAAGCCGCGCTGTGTGGTGAGCAGGGATATTATGTAATTCATACCCCCGTCCCCTTCACACAGCCTGCGGCAGACACCAGTGTAAGAGACTACTCTGGCGGCAGTAAACTGGGCTGGGCTGTGCTGAGGGGAGGTGCTTGCGCTCGACCACGCTTCATAAAGTAACCGGCTGCAGGGGAGAGCAGAGTGCTTCCCTCCTGACGGACATTGCGCCCCCAGGGTGGGAGCATAGCATTCTCTTACTTTACTTTAATTGCAATATATTTTGTATCTTCCTAGGGAGAGAAGGACGGATTGTAGGTACTATGCACGGAGGTGAAAGCGAGGTAAGGGAAAAAAAATATGAAACTATAACCACAATAAATAAACAGAAACATCTCCACAATAACGATTCATTAATATGTGACTTTATAAAGAAAAATAACACTAATTACATACAGCTTAGGTACAACTGTCACTTTTCGTAATCACACCGCATGTAATTTGAAATACAACATATTGAAATATTTAATAAAAAGAGGACACCGCTCCTGTTATGTCATAGGAAGATAATTAACTTTATAATATCCATTAGTATACACGGCACAGTCTATCCATGTCCCTCAAGCGGATTTTGCTGTTCACTGAGTGTTCTAGGGACATTCAGTAAAAAAAAAAAACTGGTTGTATATTACTGCATTGTTGTGCCTTTAAAAAAAAATATATAATTATTTAAAATACAAGGATACCTACAAACTACTTACCGTTCGTCCTTAGACCTTAAACTGTGTCTGTCCTGCTCTAGTAAAAAGTCTTCTCAATTTTTAGCATGGTTTTTTTTTTTTCCTCTGTAACAACCTCCGAACTCCTGTTAGGGCATACATCTAAAGAATCCTACTCCCATTTAGGTAACTGTCACTTTAAAGTCTATCACTATTTACACCGCATGGTAGATTAAAAAATGCCCGAAGTGAGTAGGATAGATGTAATATGTGATAGGAAATTTTATGGCGTAAATATCTCTAGGTAAGTTTTTTTTTTTTTTTTTTTTTTTTTTATTTATTTATTTATTTATTTTTTATGTGTCATTTTTATTTTGCAGCTGGAGGCTTTGTGTTTCATTGTTAACATGACGTTTGTTTGTTTGTTTGTTTTTTAAGTTGACAGAACATAGTTATATTTAGGCATGATTGATAAATGCAGGGCCAGTTTAGGGTTCTGGACTCTTATTGTTATTTTACCAACAGTCAGCATACTATGTATAGGGTTGTGCACTCCTCAGTCTGTTTTACTCAGTCTCTATTCATTTCTGCTCCCTTTTATTCTCTTTTTCTGTCTTACTTCTTGGCCTTTAGGCTCTTGTGGTGGGGGAGGGTCTTTCTTATTTTATTCTGCACATCCCATGTCTTCTTTTTATTTCCTTGCTTTCATTACGTGGAGGTGGGTCCCAGTCCTGCCATAGCACAAAACCCTGAGACCCTCAGCAGCCGGAATAAGGTAGGTATTTCCCCCACAATGCCTTCCGTTTCCTGTCCAGAGATTGGAGTTGTAGTTGCTCCCATTGTAACGATTAGGTGTGCTTAATCACTGCCTCTCCAGTTGTTGTTGGACAACAGTCTGTTCCCTTGTAGCACTGGCAGTTTTAAATCTCCTATCTGAGCACCACACATGTAACCTCCTGGAAGTCCTTACTCCTGGGAAAAACATTTGGTTAAGACAGGTGACCTGCTTTTTTATGCATTTCCTCTTTAGAAGAGCTGTCTGTCCTTGAAATGGTTTAACATTTGATTAGACTTCACATTTGCTTCTAGTCTCATTAAAGTGTCTTACAAGGCCTTAAAAACAAACAAACCTGAAACTCTTGTTTTTATCCATAGGATGAATCAGATGACAGTGAGATGGATGTAGAGGATGAAGATGATGATGATGATGACGATGATGATGATTATCGTGAGAACATCATGAGGCCAAAGGATCACAGCACAGAGATGTCTCTTGGAAGGTCCAACAGACGATCGAGGAAAGCCGACACACTTGTGGATAGCGACAATGACTTCTAGGGAAGGCCCATCACACCCACATGCATTTCACGCGCGCCTGTTTTTTGTATTGAATGTTCCAACAAAAAGTGCAGCTGGTAACTAAAGAATGCTCAGAAAATTGGAGACCAAGGCTGATATTTATCAACGTGTTGGTAAAAGAAATGTGATTCAAGTTCTAACACTGGTGCAGTCACCATGGATACCAAGCGAATCTGCAGAAACATTCAGTTGGTTTCTATTATATTTTCTCCACTGTCAGACTCTCTTGCCAACATGGAAACACATTTTTATAAAGATCTCCCCAAGAGACTGACGAGCAACGCTGTATTCGTGGTCTTTTGTTCTATTTTGAATGATTATCCACGGGAATGCCCCTAGCTTGTCTTTATCATTAAAATTTAACTTATTTCTTTAATTAGAAAATCCATTTATATTTCAGTGTAATGTATCCTACGCTTCTTTGTTTAATCCCATTGTATCCACTCCATGTGTTTGATTTATAATAAAATATCAACTGCAATGATTAAATTAGTGGATACAAAAAACAAAAAAAATAATCTTTGTGACAAAAGAAAATTATAAACCTAGAAAGGGGTTAAAATAGTGGGGCCTTGATGGGGGCGGCACCCAAGATGGCTGGACCTCATAGTAGCTCTTGCGGACTCAAATTTATCTTGTAAGCAATGTGTCTTCACCCTGCCACAGGACGATCAGCAACTACTGCAGACTACTCTTGCTGCCAGTAGTCCCTTATTTTGAGGGATTTGAAGTGCCCGAGCACAGCGGATTCTCAGCGCAACTGACCCTGAGAGTGACGGCCTGGTGCTGGGAGAGGCGGCCAGTCTCCCGTCAATGGGCTCGCGGCTAATCACGAACCGTACAAACCAACCTTCCCCCATTTGGACCGGCGGGAGATATCCCGGTACCCACTTAGTGTCAGCCTGCAATCAGCCCGAACTGAATCGAGTGGGCCTTTGAACAACTCTGGTCACAGCTCTTGGCCAAGTTTACCGAACAAACGCAGAGACAAGCAGTTATAGATGTCTCCCGACAGCCCACTGCAGTGCCTGCACAAAGGCCGGTACAGAAGCCTGCACTGAGACCGACACAGAAGCCTGCACCGAAGCGCAATGCCGAGAAGCAGCATAAGAAGAAGCGAAGAGGGAGAATGCAGAAGGCACCCCGACTCAGGAGATGCAACCCGCAGACGCTTACCTGGAACCTAGTCCATACGAGGATGTTGTCCCAAGCGCAGTTCACACCCTCGGGTAGTATGTACCAAGCCGCCCACGAGCAGATCCCGAGTCTCTGTCCGGACCATCAACCGTTGTCTGATGTGGGAGAACCCAGGACAGGACTGTACTTGGGACTGGAGCTGGTGGGATAGCAATGTGGGAAAACAGCCTTCTAACACACCATCACACGAAGTCTGCAATGGTTAGTGGGCATAGGCTGACCACCCTTCTTCAGGGCAGGAACGGGCTACTACTTCCTTTAGGCCTCAGGTCTCAAGCTGGGCAGTGTAGTGTACTCTGAACCATCATCTACCCACCTTACACTTTTAATTGTTGACCACAAGTCTGTTTAGCACACATTTGTTTTTCCTCATAGATGGCACCAGTGGTAACCTAACTTACGATAGCTTAGCATGAATTATAGCCACTTTTCTTTTCTTTATTAATATTAAAAAACTGCTGTATCTTGTGTGCCACACTAAGGATTTATACTGTCGTTATTCTGCTTACTGATGCTATTGTGTCAAGGCAAGCTTGTTATATATGCACAACAAAAATAAACTAAAAAAAAAAAATAGTGTGGCTTTTCGAAGATACATTTCATTTGATACTATGCACAGAATCATTTTTGTATAGCTATTTCTTGCTTTGACATCTGATTGTAAGTTTTGAGTTATTATTTTGAGTCATATTTACAAAAATAATAGTAATTCTAAAGGAAGTAGCATGTGTTTAGTCACTCACTGCAGCCTACAGCGAGTCACTTACTTTACTATGGAGTCGATAGTATTACCCCTATGGTTTTTTTTATCGCATTGTTTGAGCTTTGCTGACTACAATTTGTATCAGACGGTTTACTTTTGTCTGATAATATGGCATTTCTTACCCAGTATGCAAACTGGAGCTTGTACCTCAAAGGGCTACTCCATCAAAATAACTGTTTTAATAAAACACTGTTTTTGGTTAGAGTAACCTTTCATATCCTGCTCTGTCCCCCGTTCCCTTGCTGGAGGGGTTAGGAAAGTCATGGAGGACTAGTGTGGCAGAGAAGGGAGGGTCGGTCTACCATTGACTGCTTGTCGCCAGCTTGCGCAGAACTGATCTTAACCAGCCTTGATGCAGGCTGAATGCCATCCTAGAAATGCTGCTGAAAGTAGAATTACACATCCGACCGCATGCAGTCTCCAGGCACCATGACCACGTCTAATAACTGAAGTGGTTATGGTACCTGGAGTAACCCTTTAATATCCTCTTTGTAGTGTCTCAAACTATCTTTAGCAGAGGGTGTGGATTTCAGATGTTAATTTGCTGATGATAATGTCACCAAGGTTCTAAAGACCAATTGTATCTAAACAATAAATGCTACATTTACCTAGGAAATAAAATATTGACTTACGCTGTGGCTTTGTTTAGACACATTTTTTTTAATTTTTTTTTTTAACAAATGTAAAAAGGTTTAATTTATCTGTCCATTGTTCCTAATGAAAGATTAATCTGTTATTTGTTGTTTTACATGTCTGATATTGCAGGCCATGCGCTTACAACAGAGTGCATTCTGGGATGTTCTTCCTACTCTTCACTGTTCTCCCCCACTTTCACTGTGATCGGAGTACAATGCAGGGGGATCCACCAGGAAACGTGATGTCAGATTTCCACTTTGCAGTGAGGGGCTTCGTTTCGAATAGTCTCTGATATCACCTTAGCTCCTGACTGACCAATATGGTTCCCCTGGAGACTAAAGGAAACAGACCATTAATTGTCAGGTTTTAAATGCTGCAAGACGAAAAAAAGGGGGTGTCTTTGTAGAAATACTTGTGAAACATCTTTTTGAAAAGATAATTTAATTGAATACGCAACCAGTTGGCCCAAATGGCAATATCTCACGTTCACAGAACCAAACCTCCTCTCCATCCTCCCTCCCCCATGCTGATCCATAAAAGGCACAGACTTAGCTCAGTGTGTAGATCCCCCCACCTGATTAATGTCAGAGAACGGTTTGCGGACACTGCATTGGCCAGGCATATCGCACCATCCAGACCTATGGAGTTTTCTTGCAGGCTGGAAAAAAGGGAGCAGAGAAGATCATTGTACACATTTATTTTCAAAGATTAAAGAAGCTGCTAAGCCAGCCTTTTACCGTTTGACTAGTGAAGCATGAAAAAAAAGGTCTGACAATGGTAATAACAAAACTAGAATAAGATGGGTAACAGTCATTCTTGCAAATGCTTGTTTAACTCGAATGTTAGAGTGAATCACAACCCATCACTAACTGAGTGATGATCCATGTGGTTTGATATTTTGCGGATCACATGGTGAAGGTATCTGTTTGACAGCAAGTTACCAGGTGAATATAATGTTAGGTTCCAACACCTTGTGCTTTCCACTGGGTGAACCAGTATTCATTGTACTTGGTACCAGCTGGGGAATGGCTACATTGAATCCTCACACAGGGCTCTTAAAAGACTTGTATGTCATGTATACAACTTTGTTCACTTAGATTTCCAGGAACGGTGGATATTATTTTAAGGAAAACGTTTGAACCACAAACCAAAAGGTCTTTATTAAATAGTGATATATTCTGCTATCCGTTTTGTTGAGATTGGCAACATATATTGTCTGATATTGCTGCATGCCACCAAAGGCCATGCACGATCTCCCCAGGTGTAAGACACATTAATGGTTCTTAGTAAAGAACAGTAATATTGTAAAAAGCTTTATTTAAATACCAGTAATAATAATCACGGTGCAATGATCTAAAAATAGAGCAAATGACATGCCATTGATTTCCATGGTGATTGCTTGACATTTAGCATTCTTCCTTATTAAAGCCACAACTAAATTTACTGGTGGGATTCCTGTACATGCAGGTAGGTGAACGCGGATCAGACAATGGAAACCTATCGGTGTTGCAGTGATCAGTAGATCCCTTAATATGGCAATCTGATTAGTTTTGCCTAAGGCGATCAATTCTGGAGAAAAGGAGTTAAAGATTAATAAAAACACATTATGTTGGTTTCCTATGAGCATTAGGCTCTCAACGTGGCGTTTTTATTAAGTCTTATCCGTTTGCCTCATTTATGGCTCACCTGAGGAGGAACACTTTGCAAGCTCTCAGCCACACTCTCATTCTATAGATTCGATTCTCTCCCTTTAAACAGCAGCTACTTACTTGAGAGTTTGCAGGCTGGTGTTAACCCTTAAAGCTCCGGCTAAGGCTTTGGCTCCACGTAGGCCAATGTTATTCCCTCGTAGGCTGCAGAGACAATAAACAGTCAGTTAATAACATGGCATCCCATAGATACTTTCTGATATGTTATAATTGCTTACACATGACGGGCTGTGATCAAACAGCAGGTTTAGAACAAAAGAGAGATTTTAAAAGCCCTTAACATTATCGTGGAGAGTAACTTAAACTGTAATTACAAAGTGCTGGGAAATGCATAAAAAAAACACTAAATAAAACACTCCACATACATAAAGCTCGACCACTTGTGTTGTGAATTGCTAAACGTAGTTAAATTCTAACAGATATGAAAACCTTTCTCAAGTCACAGCGTGGCTGTTTTAATCTAAAATTTGCCCTTTAGTTTGCAATTCACAACAATTCACTTTTTAATGAACCCATTTAGGATTGATTCACTTAATAATAGCGGTTTAGTAAAAATTCTCCATTTCAGCTCTTTTCCAGCTTGTCTGTTTCAGCCTAATTTTTGCACTTTATGATTCCGTTCACTGTTTAATGAATTAACGTTCACCTCTTTATGAAATGTGAATTTAGGGGATCAATTCGTCATGTAAAGAACTAGTAAATAATAAAATGTGTTTATTACCTAAACAGTGAATTGGGGGGGCTTGAAACCCGAATTCGAGAATTTGTTCGTTATCGGCTATTTCGGACTAAATTTAGTTTTAGTTTTTTTATTTGAAAATTTGTGGATAATATAGTAACACAGTAAGATGACTACCTAGAATATGTATGAACGTTGTGTTATCTCGTCAATCAATACTCACTCGAGAAGCTTCAATCCTTTATTCACAGTCAGGGCTTCGGCGAGTGACTGAGCCCCACATGGTCCAATAGCTGTCCCCTGCAGACTGAATGAATACAGACGATAATCAGCAATCAATGCAATCCTAGTCTTATCAATAAGATATCATTTCATTTACCCCAGATTCACATTGTGTCTGCTGCCTGTATATTGTCATTATATTAGTTAGAAATGGTTTTTATCCTACTTAATTATTTACACAGTCCAAATTATCACTGGAATGTTTTATGTTGTCTAGGGCTCTATCAACCTACTCCCTCTTATTGTATGGCTTCCATTCGGCAGAGAATTTACACATCCGTATTACCAATAAAAAATAGGTTAGGGGGGGCGTGTCCTGACCGCGGATGTGAGCGGACGTGTGAGACCGGAGCTCCTCCGACATCTCGGCTAACACAGCGTGGTTTAAGCAGCAAACTGCCGGCTAAAGCCAGCAACATCAAGGGGAATTACCCTCTCACTAAATGGCGGCGAAACCGCAACGAAAAATGAAGCAGAAAACAATGCATGCTCATCTGGAGAGGCACCACAGCACAGAGCATGGCGAACAAGATGGCGCCGATAGGCCCAACTCCCCAACATGTGACCCTGAAGCAGGGGATCACAGACATAGCCAAGACAGCCCAGCCACAAACTCTTCCATCAGATCAATCATGCTGGAGCTTAAATCCTCATTTAAAGCAGACTTGCAGAAAATAGCATCAGACATCAGATCAGACATAAACAGCATTGGGGAACGCACAGCGCGCCTGGAAGAGCGCACAGAGGAATTGATTGATGCACACAACTCCATGGCAGAGGCACATGCATCCCTAATACAGAAGCTCAAAATACTGGAAGGGAAGGTAGCAGACCAGGAGGATAGAAGCAGGAGGAACAATATCCGCATAAGAGGTATCCCAGAATCTGTCACACAGACAAGATTAACCCAATATGTGCAGGACTTATTCAAAATGCTTATCCCCTCCCTGGCTGATGCGGAGTTAATCCTAGATAGGACACACCGACTCCCTAAACCCAGGCACCTACCACCTGACACGCCAAGGGACACCATTACGAGGGTCCACTACTACCTAATCAAAGACCGCATCATGCAAACAGCCAGAACGGCAGGCCGCTGGCCGGAACCATACACAGACATCAAGCTCTTCACAGACCTCTCATCAACAACCATGCTTGCACGACGCACGTTCGCGCCCATCACCGCAGCACTAAGAGCAGCAAATGTACCCTACAAATGGGGCTTCCCTACGAAGCTACTGATCAAGCGGAATGGCGTGGACAAACCAATCCTCAGCCCAGAAGAAGGAAAGAGGATCCTCCAGGAATGGGACATTCCGCTACACGACAACGACCCCAAGGGACCACATTTGAACGCGGTACCAAAACCCCTCGCAAAAGATTGGAACCGAACAACGAAAACCCCGCGCACATCCGCCGACCGCAGAACCTCTCCTCCATGAAGGAAGCTCCTGATTAAACCTATGTCGGTGAAAACCGAATGGACTAGACGTACAGGTTCTATAATTTTTCTTTAACTTGTTTCCCCTTGTAATCTGCTCTAATATTACCGGTTAAATGTTTTTAGCCCAAGCCGTGACAGGGAGGAGGAACTCCCAAACCCGCCTTACCTACACCCAAGCACTGCCACAACCACGAGCATTGTGGTTAGTGCCAACCGGCTCCACGTGGGCCACCCCCAAGGCTCTTAAGGCCTCCTGAGAGCCATACTTGTCCGTTGCTTGATGCGACCTAATGTCCCCATATGGCGACATACGGAACTTTGTATATAGTTATTACCCTGTTGTTTCCCCTCTTCCCCATGCCAGCATACCCGTAAAGGCGTTCTACCTATCTTGCAAGACAACTCTGAATCCTTTATATTCATGTGCGCAGCGACCCAAACGTATAGGTCATGGTAATTAAAATTATGTCCCTAAACGCAAAAGGGCTTAACTCCCCGCACAAGCGCAGGCTGGCTATACAAGAGGCAAGGAAAAGTGGCGCTCTAGTGGCGTTCTTTCAGGAGACGCATTTCAGGTGGAAAGATAGACCAAAATTCACCTCTAAATGGTTTCCCCATGACTTCCACACCTGTTTCACGGCCAAGCAAAGAGGTGTTTCCATTCTAGTTAGTAAGGATGTAGTATTCTCCCTGGTTCGCAAAATAACTGATAGAAAAGGGCGCTACCTGATTTTGCAATGCCTTCTTAACAATAACCCATATACGCTAGTCAATATTTACAGTCCTAATGAAAACCAACACGAATTCCTAACCTCGACTCTGGCCACACTTGATATGTACAAATATGGGGAGGTAATCATTGGAGGCGACACAAACTTCTTACTAGATAGTGAGTCTGACTCATCCACCGCTGCAGGGCTCTCTAAAAACACCCTGAGGAGACGAACGGCTCTAACAGCCAAAGTATGCGCCACACTAGCCTCTCACCACTTAGTAGACCCATGGCGCATCCTCCACCCCACAGAAGTTGACTATACATGCCATACACTGGCACACAACAGTTACTCCCGCATAGACCGCTTTCTCATCCCCGCATCCTCCATAACTAATATAGAGGAAGCTAATATTGGAACAATATCATGGTCAGACCATGCACCCGTCACCCTAAGCATCAAGGAAACATTCCCCAATAAAGGGACAGGCACCTGGAGGCTGAATGAGTCTCTTCTGGTGGACCCCTATGTAGTGACGCAGGTTACCTCAGACCTACAGAACTACTTCGCCGAAAACACGGTGCAAGACTCACCGATAGAACAAATCTGGCTAGCGCACAAGGCGGTCATACGAGGCAGCCTTATAAAACACGCCAGTAGAGCCAAGAAAATAAGGCTCGCAACCTATAACTCCTTGGTAACAGAAATAGCCACACTAACACACTCCAACAAAAGAGACCCAAATAGGGCCACTTGCAAAAAATTGATAGACCTCCAAAATCAATTAAGAAACATAGAACTAGCTAAAACAACATATATTTTACACAAAGCTAAACATAACTTTTTTGCCAACGGAAATAGAGCGGGCGCCAAACTAGCGTCACAACTAAAGGAGAGATGTGTGGCCTCCAGGATTGCCTTCCTAGTAGACAATAAGGGAGCGAAGACTTTGAACCCACAATGTATTGTAGACCAATTTGCGAAATATTACAGTGAATTGTATAACCTTAAAACTGACCCCAACATGTTCTTACCTACACATGACGACATTGACGGGTTCTTGACGGGACTTGACCTACCAAAATTAACAAACGATGACCTAGACCTGCTACAACAACCATTCTCCATAGACGAGATCACGGCTGTAGTATCGAAACTACCAGCCCACAAATCCCCTGGCCCTGATGGCTTTACTAACGCATACTACCAGAAATTCTCACACATCCTCGCGTCACAGTTACTAAAACTCCTCAATACCTGCGCCACCGCAGGCGCATTACCAGAGGAGATGCTGCTGGCCCACATCTCCACCCTCCCTAAGCCTGGCAAGCCCCCCACTCAATGTAAAAACTTCAGGCCCATTTCCCTACTCAATGGGGATGCCAAAATCTATGCTAAACTCATCAGCAACCGACTAGCTCCTCTCCTACACAAACTGGTACACAATGACCAGTCGGGGTTCATTAAAGGGCGCCAGGGCTCAGACAACACCAGGAAAATCCTGAACATGTTATCCACGCTAGACACTAGGGGTTCGAAGGGACTCTTCCTCGCGCTTGACGCGGAGAAGGCCTTCGACCGGCTAAATTGGGAATACATGGCTAAAACCCTACACAAATTTAACTTCCCCATGTCCATGATCAAAAGCATAATGGCATTATATCACAAACCAGCGGCCAAGGTCTCCCATGGAGGCTTCCTGTCCAACCCCTTCTCTATTACTAACGGCACCCGACAAGGATGTCCCCTCTCGCCCCTTCTATACATACTAGCCCTGGAACCCCTAGCGTGCAAAATCAGATCCCATCCAGACATACAAGGAATCCCCATACGAGACAAGAGGTACAGCCTGGCCCTGTTTGCCGACGACATTTTCGTGGCACTAACAGACCCCACCCGCTCTTTACCACATATGCTGGAACTCATACAACAATTTGGAAAAGTCTCATACTACAAATTAAATCAAGACAAAACCCAAGCCCTACCCATCAACCTGCCAAAAGCCCTGATAAACTCCCTTCGCACCACATACAAATTTGATTGGAGATCCGCCTCCATTACATACCTGGGGATAAAAGTGGCACCCTCCACCTCGGCCACGATAACATTAAACTACACACCATTACAAACGCTCTGCAACACTGAAATGCACAAATGGAAACATACGATGATCTCATGGCTGGGGAGGATTAATGCCTACAAAATGATGATCCTGCCCCGCATTCTCTATGTCTTTAGGATGATCCCCCTCAAAATACCAGCCCAATGCTGCAAAACACTACAAAAACTATGCAGCACTTTCATCTGGGGGGGTAAGAAACCTAGGGTATCCATGGCACTCCTCCAAACAGACACCCGCTCTGGCGGAGTTGGTCTCCCCAATCTCAGACAGTACTATAGAGCGGCTATCCTGTCCACAGGTGTCCTCTCCCACACACCACCTAATACGATTCAATGGGTAGACATGGAAAGAGCACAATTCCACAACCAAAGCCTACTTGACTATCTCTGGACACCCAAACACCTCAGACCGCGACGACAGGATCTCTTCCCAACCACCCAGCTCACGCTGGCAGTATGGGATGAATTCATGGATATAACAACTCCTTCCACCCCAAATCACCCATCTCGATACTCAGAACAATGGTAAAAGACATACCACTTCAAGACTGGCATAAGGCAGGGATCAAACACATATCCCAACTGATGACCGAAGGGAAAGTAACACCCTTCCCCACACTACAAACGCAGTGGAAACTCCCCAGCCGAGCCATCTTCTCCTACTTACAGATTAAAAGCGTATTATAAGCACACATAACTACCGCACACAACCCAAACAGCTCCCCACAAACCACTTCACAGCTGCTCATTGACAGATGCTGGTCCTCACCCAATAAACCTAAAACACTCACACTATGTTACAAAACGTGGCAAGAACTCACGCCAGCTAAACCACATTCGCACAAAGCCCAATGGGAGATAGACTGTGACATAACCTTAACAGATATGGAGTGGCTACAAACACTGAATGGGTTGTCCAAACAAACAAAATGTTTCTCACACATAGAGGCCCACAGGAAACTCATGTACCGGTGGTACATGACCCCACAACGACTTCACCAACTATTTCCCGCGACGAGCCCGCTATGCTGGAGATGCCAATCAAGCCCAGGCACACTGATACACCTGTGGTGGTCTTGCAGAGGCATCAAACCTCTCTGGACTGCCACGAGGTCAATCCTAGACACACTAAACATTCCAAAATTTGAACTAACAGCACCCATTTGCCTAATGCTCCTGCTTCCCACAGGCCTTAACCCAGGCCAAAAACAAATCATAACGTTAGTTTTCATGGCTGCAAGAAATCTCCTAGCACTCAACTGGAAATCTCCTAGCACTCAACTACAGCTGACAGATAAAATAGGGCAATTCCATATATATGAGAGAATGGCAACCACATCTGCTAAGAATATCACACAATTTGACGTTACTTGGGGTAAATGGGAAAGAGAGTTTGGACGAATAAAGGACAGAACACTAACAATAGCAAACACTACCACAAGCACTAACCGGGACTGCAACCCGGACTAGCCCCCCTACGCCACAGCAGTTCTACCACCAGACCAAGACAACCACCAACGAATTACGGGTATTGCTCGCGCACACCCATGCACTCCACCCACCTATAACCCCCCCGCCCCCCCGGACACCCTTAGACCCCCACTCAGGTTCTAGACCCCCTACCGGACCCCTACCACCCAGCACCTAACGAAAAGACAAGAAGAAACTTTACGACAATTAGTGCTACCTTTCGCCACTGACGATTTACAATGCAGGCGACGACAAACGGAACACCTTGCACATGTAACAGCACTATATTGTCTCATGAAAGTTAATGCCACATTGTTAAGAATGTACTGATGTTACCTTGTGCACAATTGTTAGTTGTTACTATTACTACTGTGTTGGAACAATGTCTCTCGCATAATGGTGACACATTGTTTTGGAATCATGAGTGTCATATAGAGATGTTACCTGTTTAACCAACCCTCCCACCTTCTTTTCTGTACCCCCACAACCTCGATTAACACAATAAAATATAAATTTAAAAAAAAAAAAAAATAGGTTAGGCGCTCTAGCTAACCAAATGTGAAGCAGCAGTGAACCAGCAGGATTTCCCAATACCTGCTTGTAGTGGACTGAGATATAGAATTGGAAAAGTGGTAAACCGCGCCAAAAAGTGCTCAAAAGTGCAAAATAAATATGTTATGCATACATATTAATCTTGGTTAATATAGCATGGTAAAATCCTCGAGGGAAACAAAAAACAATAGAATAATAGTGCAATATATTGTCGTTAATAGACACAAATGTATATAAAATTCCAAATAAAGAGTTTGTGGTGACGTCCTATTTTCCTCTGAGTCGCGGGCGCTATACAGCAGAGCTCTTAGTAGCTCTGCAAAGTGTGAGTTTACCTTTTATTTGGAATTTTATATACATTTGTGTCTATTAACGACAACATATTGCACTATTATTCTATTGTTTTTTGTTTCCCTCGAGGATTTTACCATGCTATATTAACCAAGATTAATATGTATGTATAACATATTTATTTAGCACTTTTGAGCACTTTTTGGCGCGGTTTACCATTTTTCCTATTCTATATCTCAGCCCTGTATTACCAGCTGATGTAATTCAGAATACATATATTAAACTAGTTGTAAACCTTTTTCCCAGGTGCTTAGATGATCATGGCATTGGATAATCTCAGTCAATGCAATCCTTCCCCATAGGGAAGCACTGGGAGTCTAGTGTGCATGTAGGGCAAATCACCACATATCAATCAATCAGCATCTCCTCTTAGAGATGCATTGAGTCTACATGTGTTTGGCACGATGTTGAACGTTGGTCCTGCCCTTACCTATTATGATCTGGTATTTTTACTCCTGATATTATTACTCTACCTTACTACTCAGAGTAAATGTAAGTGATAATATACTCAATGATTGTAGCAGTGTAGCTAAAAATTCACACATTGTGTACAGTTTAACAAAAGGGATAATAAGAATGATCGATACTTACTTATTTGATAACAATGTATTATGTATGTTTGTATATATGAGAAGGCTTAGTTGTGGTAAGGGTTAACCACCTATACATTTTTAGGCTGCCCCCTTCCACAGGGCAGAGACTGTCTAGTTCAGCCCACCCAACACTCCCTTTATTAAGCCATTCATCTTGGTAGGCCCTCTTAAACGGCCTACCCAAACTTTGGTTTCGGCACACCACAACCGACTTACATCACCGCTACTGTAACTCGGCTTATTGTATTCGACCACAAATAAATATCAATATATATATCATTTTTTTTTATTTTTTTTTGTCAATTAAACAATTGTGAGGGTTCCAACAAGGTATAAGATTTTTCTCTTGTATCTTGCATGGAATTTATATTTGCAATTTTTATTATCTCTATACACCACTTCTAGTTTGTTTCTTATTATATCTTATTGATCTATGACCCTTGAATAAAGTCCTGCAGGTATTCTGTCCTAGTTAAAGGTTAAACAAGCTTGCGCTTGAAGAATAGCCCTGACTATATTGTAATCAATACAGATACAGGCATTTTCTATGTCACCTAACGAATCCTGATCATGATTATTCTTGTGGCTTTGTTCCTTTCAATATATTGTTGTGCCAGATTTATTTCTTCTAAGTGTTTCATCGATCTGTAACACCTTCGTGCAGAGGCTAATTTGGATCTCTCTCTGTCTTTAGTCTCGTGGGAGTGCACTCAGCTACAGCTCAATGAGAGTTTTGTCTCAATTGAAGGTACATGCAATTTACTGATACTTTCAGATCAATGTAGCAAGGATCGGTCAGCATAGACTGTCACCTACGTATGTCGTCTAATGTTTGTATCACAACGTAAATGGTGATTACATGCACGTTGGTTTGTGTGGAGGGAAAATGCATTAAATGGAGAAACTTGAATGCATGGACGGATGGATATATAGATAGATATTTTGGCTTGTAAATTAAAATTTATTTATTGGATATTATTACAATAGTGTTTTTGCATAATACAATTATTTTCAGAATTCTGTCTACATGTATTTTCTCTATAATGCATCCATATTTCAAGTTATATATGCAACCATACAATCATGGGCTTCTCTTCCTGGTAGTACTATTAGAATGTGAATTTACAGATAGTTAATATAGAGTTGTTGAAATGAAGGCACAACAAGTATAAATGGTGCACATGCAGACTCCAAGCACTATGAACACTTCAAATCACTGGTGTAGTCATGGTGCTTGCAGTAACCCTTTTAGCTACCCGACCTCACCTTTTAATATATAAAATCAATTATTCAATAAAGATCTCTACACTTGTTGAAATAAAATTTGTTTAAAAAGCTATGTAGTAAAGATAACTAAATCATTTAAAATATATTTAGGGAGCATAAAGGGAGATGTCGTCCACAAAATCCAGAGTGCAAAAGGTTGCCTACCCCTGCTCTAGACCCAAGCTTCTGTGGTCTTGATTGACTAGACCCACTTTTACACATCTACCAGGCTCACTTATTTGAGAACATCCATTCAAAAAGAACACTTACTAGAGAGCATGGAGTGTGGTGTTCTCTCGTAGAGCGCTGGAGAGTTCTGCCGTACCTTCATCTCCGAGAGAGTTCTCCTGCAAGCTAATAAGAATCAGAGGTCACAGGATAGTCATTATTAGTTACAAATTAGCCAAGTGAAAAAAAATCTGTTTTAAGTGATTTGCCTGCATAAAATGCTTTGAAACCCTCAAACGAATCGATTCCAAAATTTGGTTAGTTCATAAACTAACCGAATCACACTAATCAAAATCCCTTTTTGGGTACAAATGAAAAGGATTTTAAGATTTGTCTCGTTTTTGAAGGTGCTGGGTTTCTGAAGCAGTTCGTTTGACCATTACCAGGCAGTCTATTCAAATACATCACTTAAAATTAGATCTATGCACATCTAGTTACAATATGCAGAACTGGAGTTATACACTGGCTGCACATCAGTGGACAGCTCCCTCTGTTCTGCTATGGAAATGCTAAACGCTATGTAAAATATTCAAAATAAAAAGGCCACCACTGGCTAGTGAAATACCATGAACTGTATTTATAAGCCTTTACTGCCCGAGCAGCTGTTAAGGCTCTGCAGCCACAGTTTAATATGTTATACATTTTCCTACACCGGGACCATGACGGTATCTGGAAGACTTTGAGGGCCCAGGCACTTAATTCTGTAGAAGGTCCCATCGTTTCTTGACCTGCATGTACAGCTGTACCTCTCTGAATAACTGGGAACTTGCTGGATTTGACCCAAAGACTGGCTTGACATCTCACCACATTACTCTAGGTGGCAGAAGGGTTTTCATTGACCACCATGCTCTCCTCCAGTCATTGTTATTCCTCACAGTTTTCAGCCCGTTCTGCTTTTTTTTGTCTCAACACATACATTGTGAAGAGAGCTCAGAGTGACCACATATAAGATAAATGGTAGGAAATGCTCAACACCAAATCATGCATGTGTATGTAGAATTGCCTAAAATAACCGGACTTACTCTAAACAAGTCAAGGATAGGTTTTCACGGAGGGCACCAGCCAGAGCGCGAGCCGATGCAGCCCTCAAGAAATTCCACTGGAGGCTGAAAGAGATACATAAATACACAGCTGAAACATTATGTGTTAGTCTATGGGGAACCAATCAGAGGCCGTGGAAGACGCCAACATGAAAAGACCATTCCAAGCACCATAACCACTACAACATGCTGTCGTGTTAATGGTATGAGGAGTATCATGGACCCCTAACCCCTTTGTAAGTAGTCAAACTATTTTAAAATAATCTGACTTCTTACCTGAGACCACTGATTACGGCTCCCCACCTGCACTACATTCAACAGAAAGCCGGAAGCCTTCTTTCTTAACTATGCCAGAGGGTGCAGGGCATAGGTCATTCTTTGAGAGCAATTAGCTGATACTCCCAGCCAATGAACTGGTTTTACACGGCAGGGCTTAGCTCATTAGCGCTCTCTGGTGGATGTAGTGGTCAAACAGTTCTAAAATGGTTTAACTACTTAGAATGGGGGAGGGGGGGCAGTGATGTTGGCAGAGTTTTTCTCTATATATTAAGCACTATTACAATATTGCATTTTTTTTTAAATAAACAAATAAGTTAATATGCATATTGCTATCCAGTTTGTGGGCAAGTAGAAGCTTGTGTTAAAAACTGACCTCTTTAATTTGAAACCATCAGTTTCCAGGATTTTTAATACTCTGTTTACTTATTCCCTATATTTAAGAAATCTTTTTTTGTGAGGTGTGGAAAAGAAAAGAAAAAAACGCTGTGTTTAGCACTCCATTTTGGCTTCCTGTCAATCACTATCATACGCTCTTCCCTTTTCTGTCATTGGATGTAGTATGCGAAGGATTAGAACAAATGCAAATATGTGCCTTCGCTGCGCCAGGATCGAACTGGATTGTGACATAATTTACTAAATCGTTAATACACGTCACATCAACAGGAGAGTAATCTTAAGGCTACTGAACTAATGATGAAAAGAACATTGTATCAATTCTTTTAGCACAAATCATTATTATAAACCATGTAATATGAGAGCTAACGACAGTATGAACGCTAACGACCATATCGTTTTTTTCACCTTCTGTCATACATCTCCCTGTGACACTGTGACTAACATTAGTCTAGGGGTAAAATACTTTTTTGATCTATACATTTACTTGCAATTTCGCCTAATAACAATTGCTCTCATTCAGATGGACCGATTCACTTTTATAATACTGAGGCTATTATGAGGGACTCATAATACGAGATCTATAAAGACTCACTGTAGAGACTCCAGGCTCCGATTCTCCTTCAGCGATTCTGCAAGAGCTTCAACTCCCTCGTCGTGCAACAGATTTGCGGTCAAACTGTAAGAGACATATCTCGAATGAGCCTCATGACTGTACCTAGAAATCCAGTTTAACGCTCACAATGTGTCTTTACACTGAAGGAGCCTGAAACTGGAGCTGTTACTTTCCCCCACCCCAGTAAACCATACTTAATTCCTCTGAACCAATTGTTTCCTGCCACCATCTCCCCAAAATGGCATCCCTTACTGCCATACACACTCACATGTATGTACATTAGATGAGTGCAGGGCATCATTGGAAATTTAGATTTTGTATCAAATGCCAGCACAGCCTAACATTCTATGCAAATCCAAGGGACAAAAAACACCTTGACTCTCAAAGATGGATACCAGAAGAATATTGTCTTCATACCATACTTTCCACAGATTGTCTTCCCTTTGCTATTTTTCCCAAGAATCTCTGTATTGGGTTAATAGTTGGGGAATATTCAGAGACAGTGAATTAAAAACTGATTTGCAAAATGTAGGTTAAAATAGCCTAAATGTGACCGCAGATGATTTGGAGAATTATTTCCTCTCGGCTGTTTTTGCCCAGATATTGCAATTTGTGTCCTACAATTCACTGTTTAATGAATAAGCCCATTTATCTCACCTACATTTTTTAAAAAGAAAAAGAAAGAGACACTTGAACAGCTTTTATCGCTTTTATTTCCTTGAATGGGTTTCCAAATCTCTCTTTCTAGTGTGCGGATAAATGTGAATATACACCCACACATAAATAGTATGTAATCTATTATTATCCATTTTCTCGCATTCTCCACAGTTTGGAGATCCAGCTGGCAACATAATCAGCCTTTTGATTTTGACTTTCCCCGCCCGAAAACGGTGCATCAGGATGGACTGAAAACTGAATTTGGAAAATTCTTCAATTAAGTTTAATTGTTAATGTCGCAATATTGTCATGAAAGTAGTTTACACTGTTCATAACTCTAAAACTCGTAACGCTAAAAATTCCAGATCTTCTTGGCCTTTCATGTCTTCAAGCTGAAGTGTTTACATGCCCAGAACATTCGATTCTCAGCAATTTGATGAATACTTACTCCAAGTGCTTCAACGTGCAGTTTCTTTTGAGAGATTCTGCCAAAGCCCTGGAACCCTCGATGCTGATTGAGTTTTCCCGAAGGCTGGTGAAGAGGAAAAAAAGTTTGGAAGGGTAAATGTCAGATGGTACGTGAACGGGACATAAAAAAAGGAAAATCACAATATTATCCTGAAGCACGACTTGTTATGATGCTTTATAATTTTCTTATTATCACTTTTCTACCTTTCTTTGCATGGAAGTGGGTTACAAAAACACAACACACAAGGTTTCCGGCACATTCCCCATATGTCACCACCAATACAAGTTACATGACTACGATGTGGGCATAGAATGCATGAAAGAGACCTGAGAAATGTCACAGAGAAGATGCCCTTGATCCACTGTGTACTGTGTATAGATGGTGGAATGCCAAAATATAATCTGGAAATGATACCCAATCACTAGATAATAATATTATCTAAAAAAAAACCTGGAACCACCAACCAACACTGGGAATATTTTTTAAATCTTCAGGTTTGTTATAAAAGCATTTGGTAAATGGACTACTTCGTGGTCGATCGGATTCACTCACTTGAGCAGTTTCAGGCTCTGGTTCCGGCTCAGTCCGCTGGTCAATGCACTTAATCCACGGTTGCTGATTGAATTACTCTTCAAACTGCACATAAAGGGACTCTGTTAAATCCACAGTAATTGGAAATGCAAGATAGAGTATGAAAAGATTAATGTCTAGAATCACTAAACACTACAGCATGATACCTAAAGTGTTACTACCCACTAAAACAAGACCTGTACAGAATCATTCACTACCAACCACACCAAGACCTGTACAAAGTGACTACCTACCACACCAAGACTTGTACCTAATTACTCACTACCTCCAAATCAAGACCTATATAAAGTAACTCACTACAGCCCACACCAAGACCTGTACAGGTCACTCTCTACCTACTCCATCAAGATCTGTACACAGTCACTCTCTACCTACTCCACCAGGACCTGTACACAGTCACTCTCTACTTACTCCACCAAGACCTGTACAGGGTCACTCTCTGCCTACTCCACCAAGACCTGTACACAGTCACTTTCTACCTACTCCACCAAGACCTGTACACAGTCAATCTCTACATACTTTACCTAGACCTGTACAGAGTAGCTCTCTACATACTCCATCAAGACATTTACAGAGTCACTCTCTACCTACTTCACCAGGACCTGTACAGAGTCACTCTCTACCTACTCCACCAAGACCTGTATAGAGTCACTCTTTACCTACTCCACCAAGACCTATACACAGTAACTCTCTACCTACTTGATGAACAGTCACTTTCTACCTACTCCATCAAGACATTTACAGAGTCACTCTCTACCTACTCCACCAAGACCTGTACAGAGCCACCCACTAACTACTCCTCCAAGACCTGTACAGAGTCACTCTCTAACTACTCCTCCAGGACCTGTACAGAGTTACTCTCTAACTACTCCTCCAGGACCTGTACAGAGTTACTCTCTACCTACTGCACCACCAAGACCTGTACAGAGTCACTCTCTACCTACTCCACCAAGACCTGTACAGAGTCACTCTCTACCTACTCCACTTGGACCAGTACAGAGTCGTTCTCTACCTACTCCACCAAGACCTGTAAGACACCACTACTTGTGTCATGAAAACATGCCCTGTGTAGGTTTATCCTTATAAATCTTTCAGCTTCTCTGCATATCATACTTCCACTTAGATTCTTTATCCCTACAAAGCAGAGGAAGCTCTCTTTAGAAAAATCTTCATATATTCTGAAGGACTTACTCAAGCGTTCTCAAACTTGAATTTTCAGTAAGAGCTTCAGCCAGAGCTGAGGCACCTCGGTCCCCCAAAGTGTTACTGGACAACCTGTAGATTGGGATAGAATGCCTGGGGATCATTCAGTAACAGAGAGGCAAGAGTACAAAAGAGTGTTGAAACAGCATAGAATATGAGGGAGGAAACATGATATGTGATAGGAGCAGAAGGGGAAACCCAAGAATGATTTCATTTTGTGAATTGCTGGCAAAGAGTGATTGTAGCACAGATGATAAAAAAAATAACTTAATTAAAACTACTGTTACTAATAATTTATTACCATTTAAAATATTAATCAAAAATAGAAATCTTCGAGGGATATTAATGGCCAGAGAACGCTGCCCTTATTTTCTTAATGCACTATATAGATGCATTGAATAAAATACACACACACAAAAATAAATATATTTAAAAAGATACTAACCTTCGATGTTCTTCTGTGCGCTACATATCCCTGTGGTTTGTTGAATCCGACATCTAGCTGATAATCTTAGCCATCCCAATATTTTCAGCTGGGGTTTACCGTATACACTTTTGCCCAGCAAGGGCTTATGGGATGTGTAGTTCAGTACTCAGCATTAGTTAAAATAAATGGAATGGCTGCCTAACTCTCCGTAACAAGCTTATTGTACTAGCCACTTTGTTCTGTAAACGGAACTCTAGATAAGGCCACAGCTTCAGCTGTGTCACAGAGAGTAAATATAAAGTGCTGATTGAGAAAGTCATTATATTTCTCTACTCTCACATCATTGCCAAGTCAACACAAACATGTACAACAACATTTCACACTCACCACAGCTCCTGAAGGACTTGGTTCTGCTTGAGACACCTTGCTAGACTCTCTGCCCCCTCTGCCTCAATATTGTTTTTCTGAATGCTACGATGACATCAAAAGGGAAATGGTTACATATCAACGTTAGAGCCGGAATCCCAAGGTTGAGCTACAATCCCTACTGACAGTCTGACATAATGCATGGATCCCTCTCTGAGATAGACTCAGCCAATCAGATGGGACTCCGTGAGGAGTCACCATTATTACCGAACACCACCAATCATAGGGGAAATGTTAGGGAGGTGGTTCTTTGGGGGCTGAAGCCCTAAATGTAGGCATTTTAACAGTTGGTGGAAAGGGCAGGAGGATATTATATCATTACGTTTTATTAAATATATGAAAAGTAAAAAAAAAAACAGAAGGGAAAATTTAATGACAGTTGTTTAGCAAAACCACAGAACACACCAACTGAGCATCAGGGAGGATTCCAGAAATATCTGTCTTAACCTTGCTCCACAGAACATGAGGATACTCACTTTAACGTCTTCAGATTGCAGTTCACCTGCAAAGACTCCGCAAGATAATGAGTGCCGCCTGACTTAATCTGGTTATTGTGTAGACTGCAAGAGAGAAGAACGTACAGTGAGGACCAAGAGACTGTAAAGAAGATAATAAATAGCAGCAGGAGAAAATATCATGCAGAAACATTATATGGAACAGACAATATAAGTAAAACTCAAAATCTAAGAAGCTTTCTCACAGGTAAGACAAAGCTTTCCAGTCTGTTATTCTATTGAGACTATGCACTAACATCAAGCATCTCTTCTGCCCATCACAATTTGAGAATATCACACACTGATATGTATAAGTCAATGGGTCAAGAAAAATCACCTGTGGGCCATCTGAATTTAAAAGAAAAAGGGTTTTCTGCACCAGCTATGCCAGGATAGGACTGCCAAAGGGGAGGTCTGGGTCTGCCGGATTTTAGACTAGAGAGGGGTGTGGAGTTTTTTTAAAAAATCTACTTGTCCAAGGGGCTCAAGTGGTAGCCCAATCTACTAGCTCGTCAGGACAATCGACTTGTCCTGACACAAAATAATATCAATTACAAAAATTGGGGGCACTTGCCTAGATCCGTGGACATTGACAGGGCTACTTGCTAAACTCATTTTCACAAACTACATCTGAATGGAAAAATGGAGGCAAAAATAACTGATCTGGAAATATTATGTAACTTTGCAATTATTATTTTTTTTTTTGCACCTTCTTCTAAAATAATTTGCTGTTCTTATCCTTGGCTGTCTTATTTTCTTACTTTTGAACCAGTGACATATTGGATAACTAAGGAAAGGGAACAGGAATTTATAGTTAACCAATTGATCATCGAAATAATAGTTGAATAAATGCTTTTCTAGTGATACATCTTTAAATCATGGGACGCCTCCATGTCTCTCTGAAACTTTAGGCAGTTTACAGCTGACAGCATCCTCGGCCAATGTGTACAACTGATTATGATTAGTTTGGCTAAAATGGGAACTTGATATCAGACTAATTGTCATGAGAATTCACCAGAAAGGTGAGATGCCAAAGACCTGACCAAGATGTCACCTGCTGTAAAGAACTCACTTTAGGCTGAGCAAGACTTGATTGTTTTTCAGAGCTTCTGCGAGAGCCTTTACACCTTTAGGTCCAATAAAATTCCCATGTAGGCTGCAAAAAACAGGTATGAAATTAATAATATTGAGAAGATCCCATAACCAAACCATAAATCTGTCTGCTGATTGTTAAAATACTCACTCAAGTGAAACAAGTGTGCGATTCACCATCAGGGCTCTACCCAGGACCTTCACACCACGGTCAGACAGGAGATTCTCTGCCAGGCTGGTAAGGGAATATTGGTGAGCGATTGGCAGCTTCTTTCTTCTAATCGTATTAATTTAAGGAACCTTACACATGGAGCAAATCTGGTGCACAGTTCTAAAGTTGGAGCATTCACTCCATTCTTTAGAGTGGTGGTAGGCAACCTTTGGCACTCCAGACATTTTAGACTACATCTTCCCTGATGCTTTGCTAGCATTATGGCTGTAAAAACATAACAGGAGATGTAGTCTACAAAATCTGGAGTAGTGCCTAACCTTGCTTTAATTATTTCTTAAATTCATGGTCATTATGTTTAAACTTATTGATGGAACCACCATTGTTGAAAATAGTTTAAATCAAAGTGAGGTTTGATAAAAGAAGAATAAGCCTTTAGGGAGTCTATTTAAGGGCAAAAAAAACAGCATCTATGTGTGTGTTGGGAGAGATGATATGTTTCCCTACTCCACATGAACAAATATGGACAATTTAGATGGTAAGCGCACAGGCCACATTGCTACACATGCCAAATTTGACAGTGAAGGTGCAGGCCCTCATTGTCTTTGTACTGATAAAACTAATTATGTGTGTTCAGTCTGTCATCCCTACACATTGTTAATTCAGTCATTGTACAGTACAATAAAAGTAATGAGAAGATTTTGTTTTTGAAAGATGGATTTCTTTACCTGTGGGACTCACCTAAGTCTCTGGATGGCACAGTCCTTGTTATGCAGGACACTGGCTAAAAGCTCCATCACATCATCTTTGAAAGTGTTATTTTCCATTCTAGATCATACAGGATGTAAGTGGTTAGCAGGAGAAAAATGAGCATTTTAGGACATCTATGTGTAGGATGTATTCTATCATATCCAATGAGTTTACGAAAAATTTCAAAACAGATCTAAACATCTCAAATTGTATACACAGCATGGAAAAAATAAATACAACATGTGTTTACACCAGTGATAATTGTATACATGCTTGTCCTGTCTAAACATAAGGAGTTCCACAAATCTAATCTTTATATTAAACGAATGCTAGTAGATGTCAAAATGTAGTTTGTTAAAAACACATAGTCAAATCGGTATCAAAGGCTCTTACAAGACGCCAAAAATCACTTTGATCTCACATACACATAAACTACTCAAGATCGGCCACGAACAAAAATTGTATATTGGTGTGACAACTTTGGAGCCCATGCCTGTTCCTATTGTCTGTATGAAATATATTGTACCAGAAAACAAAGTGATTTCTATACAGAAAAGTCTTAATTTTTATTTTCACAATATTTATCATACGTCTGAGTTGAATAGAAGAAATAATTTGATTTAAATGACAAACTGCTCAAATACTCTGTCTAAAAAAAGTTGGTCTGTTCAGCTTAGTGAAGATTAACACTGTGATACAAGATTAATCCCTGAAATCAAGTACCATTTTGTATCATTGGCCTCAATAGCTACACCTTGTACACACTATTCAAGTGGCTCTGTCACCTCAAACTTGACAGTCTCCTATTGTTTACTCTTCTCTTCCTCTTTCAGAATCTGTAATTGTTTTCTTCATTTCTGATCCATTTCTCTTTAAAACATAAGACAAAGGGGGGTGGGGCCTGACAACCAAGATGGCCGGTCGTGCTTTCTGAGAGCTCCTGCAATAGAGGGCACAAAAACGCAAATTCTGCATAAACTACTGGTGCTAGCAGCAAACGGAGCCCAGAGAACAAACCAGAACCACACAGGGCACACAATGATACCCGACCCGCATCGAAACCACATAAACATACATGGACCAGCCATGAGGCCTACTCAGGAGTGGGACCTGCAGTGTGTGGGAGGCGGCCGATCCCCCGACACAGGACACGCTCGCATGCAAACAAGCGACAGGGCCCTGCAACCCCCCCCCTCTGGACCGGTGGGGGATATCCCGGTCCTCGCTGGGGGCGATTAACCCCACACTACAGCCGGACACGCAACGGCTCCGGAATACCCCTGAGACTGAGGCGAAGATGGCGCCCAAGCTACACAGAGGGAGCACAAAGGAGCCAAAAACAAGCCTCACTAACCCAGCTGACTACACAGCAAGGCTAAACAAAATTTTCGCAGCATTCTGGCGCAGGCTGGCACGGCGCCTATCTACTCAAGCCGAGATCAATCGGGTAACTCACCCCTCACTGCGACCACGAGGAGGGCACAAAATGGCCGAAGCACAGCGGACACAGCAAAGCAAGCACTCCCGTCCGCCCCTACAAGCTCGACAGCGATCCCACTTAACGGCTCGGAGCAACAAACCCCCTTCTGGGCAGGGGAGCACACCGGACCAAAATCCGACCCACCGTCCACACACCCAAAGGGGCATCAGGAGAGTGAGGCTCCGGAGGGCCCACGGTCCCCCCACGTGTGGGAGAGGGATCCGAGGACACAGGGAAGTGCTCTCCGCTACAACCCGGGCTGGGGGATCCGAGCATGCCCAGCCCCACTATACCAGCCGGTCGGGACGGGATCGACCAAGGAGCACCCACATTACACCCACAGCACCCCAGAGATCACTCACTCAAGAGACTGTAACACCCTGCACGAAGCCGTTTACAGCGGCTCCCAGCCAGACACCTTCATCACCTGCAACACCCATACACAAGCGGGGTATTGGCTGAACAGGCCTCACTGGGGATGCACCAGCCCTTCAGCGCCGGGCGCGGGCAGGCCGGAAAACCGACACGTGAGCTATACATTCTTACATGCTGGGACTTTCTCCTACCCAAATCTGCAAATGGACATTGCCGGCCAGCGCCTAGAATGTTCCTGTACCTATAACATGTTGCAAGCCTATGTTTTCCATGCCTACTAACCAAACCACTTACAGCATAAAGTGTCTACACATAGTAGTGTAAACCTAGGGCTATCACTGTTCAAGCCTGTTTCTAGCTTAACTTAATTGACGACACTGCTTAAAGGTCGAAATAACTATTGTTGATACTTGCATAACATATACCACTAGATTGCCTTACTAAGTTTAAAAAATGTTTTTAAAATGTGCTTTCACTTCTATGCCACATATGTATACATCTATGTTATTGATGTGATTATGTTTGCTGTTGTGGCAACGTATATCCTACTGTCAAACCATGCACAACAAAAATAAAAAATTCAAAAAAAATTCAAAAAACAAAAAACAAAAACATAAGACAAAGAAGGGACTACTTTGTCTTCTGTATTTTTCCTACACTTGATAATATTGACAAAGGATGGAGTTTAAAGGAACACTATAGGGTCATGAATACAAATGTGTGTTCCTGACTCTATGGAGTTAAAAACACAACGTAGGTAGCCAGCACCCACTTGTCCCTTTTAAATAGGATAAAAACTCACCTTTATTCCACAGCCTCCTTGGCTGATGTCATCAGAATTGATAATCTGAGCCAATCCAATGCTTTCCCATTGGGAAAGCATTAGACTGGCTGAGATCGCCAATTCTGATCATCTCAGCCGAGGAGGCAGGGCCAAACACTGCACTGGCTAATCAGCATCTACTCCTAGAGATGCAATGAATCAATGTATCTCTTTGTAGAAAGTTCATTGTCTCCATGCAGAGCGTGGAGATGCTGAACGTTAGTGCTGCACACTGTGCATTAAGCTGTAGTTGTTCTGGTGACTATAGTGTCCCTTTAAGGCAAGCTTTACCGTTTGTTATTTTGTTATCTTGACAAAGAAAGTGGAGTTTGTCTTAATAAAAATAGATCAGAAATTAAGAAAAAAAGAACAGATTCTAGAAGAGAAACAAAAGAAGAAAATCAAGTTTTACGTGACAGAGCCACTTTACCTACTTGAGAAAACTAATGTAATCATGTGCAAGGTGAGTCCAAGTTAGTGTTTGTCCGCCATATAATTGACAATGAAACTTTTTTTCACATAATTGTTAACATTCACGGCAACTAGAATAACTCCTTTGTCAGAATTGATTGTGATAATTTTATAAAGGTCACAGTAAAAAGATGGCCTACGATTGAATGATTAGCTGACTATGTTCTTCTAACAATTACAATGCCATTACTCATACGGCATAGTCTATCACGCTACAGTAAACCTCAGTACTAACAAATCAGCATTTCAAAAATAATTTAAACTATAGCATTGTTGCCACCTTTCTTAAATTCAAACTTTGGGAACTTGATCAAAGGCTATCTTCATACTAAGATAATTTGGTTTCAATGTGGCCCGTTATCATACATAACAGAGTCTGAACACGATCCCTGCCCCCCACCCAATAAGAGACTAAATTGTAATAGATACAGCCATTGGTCAGATGTCCCCAAAAATCACTTGCCTATACATATGGCCATGATCTTATAAGCCCCTTCATATGCGTAGAGGCTACATGTTTCCAGTTCCCTGGCCACTTACATTATAAACATAAAGCACTCTATAACAATTACACTCTCTCTCTATATATATAATGATTTCATTTACAGCTTTTATTTTGATTTAAAGGGTACAGAAGGTCCTCTTTTAGTAGGCAAGGGTAATGTACAAGGAGCCAGTTAGTGATACTTATGATGTATCCTTTTGATATTACAGAGATGGGGAGTAGTAAGACTATGGTGGCCAGGATCTCAGAGTTTGGATCAATAAGTAAACTCCATGACAGTGCTGTAGAATGTCTATACTGTGGGCCAACTTGAAAAATAAGAAGATTTTCATTCACTCCCTGTTTATATTCCATCACTTCCCTTTTGTCCTCATTCCATATCCCTATTCGAGCTTCCCATTTTCCTATTTCAGCTTTCAGACTAATCTTTAATGCATTTTCCTTGTACATCCTTTTTTGCATGTATTGAGGTGTATGTGCTTTCAATAGTGCTGAAAAAGCAATGTTTAAACCTGGCTAGCAGCCACAGGCCACAAATTAGAGCCCATTGGACAGTGCTGCACTGTGCAATAAATGACACCATGGTAGCCATTGACATTACTCTAAGGTAGATGACCAATCTGTTCTACAATTCCTGTTATATTAGGTTAATAGAAATAGTTGTAGATAAGGCGATTGAGTCAGGTTGTCTAGCTATCACGCAAGCCCACAATGATAACTGGTGCAGTACTCAGCTTAGTTTACCTGATGCTGGTACAGTATTGTAGCTGTGGCAGGAGAATTTTCACTAGGTTGTATGTAAGACACTGGGAAAGATTAGTTTCATGAGCACAGCTGTTGGATGCACGCAGTAGGTATGCCAGGGCACTGCACCCTAACATATTCAGCTTCCCTCCAAGTGTTCCATTTATGAAGTCCTCTTCCACCCCACTTGTCAGTTCTGTGTGCCCCAGTTCCTGCAGGCAGCAGACTAAGTTCACCGTACTACATGAAACTACTTTTCCTGCACATAGCAAGCTATGCAAGTAGTCAACTGCCGGCCCACGATGCCCACCTAGCTCTTCCTTTCCAGGGAGGCATCCGGACAACACCCGCAAAGCCTGTGGTGAAAGGAGGCCAGACAGAAACCGTAGGAAGATGGGTATCTGCATATCGTCTGCCTGCAGAGCCCTCTGAACAGCACTTTTATAATGGTTCATGTAGCCCAATTTGGGCCAGGACATTGCCCCATCAGCAAACAGGTCAAATATGGCTCGTTTAGCAGCTGAATGGTAGTGGACGGCAGCTAGAAACTCCAGCAATAAGAGGTGTGAAAATGAAAAAGAGAGGCATGAAGGGGAATGCTGACATAGCAGTAGGCGAGCACTGAGGCTGCCTGGGGTCAACGGGGTGTCAATTCCACAGGATTTTAAGTCTGACTCGTAAAAAACTGACCGTTTTCTGATCAGTCCATTGAATGCCAGTCTTCCCAAATTGGCAACAGTTCGTCGGGCACTGCCAGACTGCTCTAAGCCATCACGGTCACACAGCTGAGCCTTGAGATACCAAGAGAAAATGTTGGACAATGTTCCTGGTAGACAGGATGAGTCTTGAGTGTGCAGTAAATATCCCAAAGAGGTCCCAATAATGCGGCATAAAGCTGGTACAGAACATAGTGCATTTAATGAACGGTGGGACTGTATGTGATCCCAGACACGTTGGACTAAGCCACTGTTATCTGGCAGAAACTGCTCCAAAAACTTTCTAATATGTTCAGTCCTGAGTCCAGGAATTTCTGTCATACGATCCACAAGTCCTCCAGGAATCCAGGCTGCTGCCCCAGGCCTGGAAGTTATCCATATCGCAGTTTCTAACAGTAGGTTACCACGCAGTATATTCGTTATCAGACATTCTGGTGTGAGTTCCTTTTGGGGGTCAGTACATGCTATAGATTCTGAGAAATCCAGAGGTGCTCTTAACTCATCCAGCCCATCCAAAATGAGAAGAGATCCTTCAGGTGGCTTTACATAGCTTGGGTTGGCAAGTCGTACTAGCCGATCTGTAGAGAGACGATCATAGACATTCAACTCTGAAAGATTCAGAGCCATCACACTTGTGATGCTGGGGCACACTTCACCCCGTATCCACCTCTCTACAAAAAGTCTCACAAGGGTGCTTTTTCCAGCTCCTGCCACTCCAACAGTCAGAGTAATGCGAGGGGGAAGGCTAACTTGTGAGAGGGAGACCAGAAGTTTCTCCAGAGATAGTTGCCTGGGAGTCCCCCTTCCTTCTTGACCTAACTCCAGCTGCACAATATCATGTTCCTGAAGTTGGGCGTCTGTGAGTCCTTCTACTATAAGCAGAGGGTCTAACTGTGTTAACAGTGGGCATGGGTCCTTGGTTTTCACTTTCTCCAGATGTTTTAGAACTAACGGATCTGCGGAGAACAATAGAGCACAATGAGCCACAAAATGTTACAAATACAAAATGTGGGTTCACAATCTCAAAATCTCACTTACCATAGTGACGCATGCGCAGTTGCAGGTAAGAGCAGCTATTCTCTATGCAGCTCTGAAGAGCCTGTAGGCATGTCTTGCCCTTCCCTACCAGGATATCTAGGAGGTTCTCTGCCCGCATGGGTAACAATGTAACTTCCTGGAGCAGCTTGGTCTCCTCTTCTGTCAACATCTGGAGGTCCTGGAGCTCTGTAATGATCTCGTGCATGGATAATGGGCAGGCACAGGCAGCCAGTTGCCTCCTGTATCGGAGAATCCATAAGCCTATAAAAGAACAACGAGATAACTTGTTACCATATTCTTTTTGAAGAAATCCTCCACCCTTGTCACCTACATACCTTCCATGTCATTGTTTCACAATTTCTAGTGGTGCACGTGGCCCAGATAATTCAAAGTCTCCCAGCCATCTCAAAGTACATGTCCATATTAAATTTATTTTGGATCAGGCCTGGAACCTTCCCTGTCATCCTATAGAAAAACAATAAAATAAATAATGCAGTTAACAGAAACAAAAAAAAACAAAATAGGATGTTGTCTTTGTTCTTATTCATCCACCAACACCTGACATGTTTCTTTACAGATTGTTAACTTGGTATCTATATTTAAAGTAGATAGCTTGTATTTCTTTTATTTATATATGTTTGCATTAATTTCTCTTATTTTTTTGCCAAAAGTTCCAGGCTGGGTAATGTCAATCCAGGGCATGGATGTCATTCATTGACTGAGAGTGCTCAGCTTCCAGGCTGGGTAATGTCAATCCAGGGCATGGATGTCATTCATTGACTGAGAGTGCTCAGCTTCCAGGCTGGGTAATGTCAATCCAGGGCATGGATGTCATTCATTGACTGAGAGTGCTCAGCTTCCAGGCTGGGTAATGTCAATCCAGGGCATGGATGTCATTCATTGACTGAGAGTGCTCAGCTTCCAGGCTGGGTAATGTCAATCCAGGGCATGGATGTCATTCATTGACTGAGAGTGCTCAGCTTCCAGGCTGGGTAATGTCAATCCAGGGCATGGATGTCATTCATTGGCTGAGAGAGTGCTCAGTTGATGCACTCATCCAATGATTGAGCTGCGCATGTCTTTAGCCTGTTTGCAGAGGAAACCCACACGGCAAAATGGTTTTCCCCATTACTAGGGAATGACACCAGTTTAAGAATGAAGACATGGTATAAATGTAAAATGATTAAAAAAAATACTCCTATTTAAAGGGCCACTATATAGGCACCCAGACCACTTCAGCTCAATGAAGTAGTCTGGGTGCCAGGTCCCCATAGTTTTAGCCCTGAAGCTGAAAACACGGTCAGAGAAACTGCTAAGTTTACTTTACAGGGTTAATCCAGCATCTAGTGACTGTCTCCCTGACAGTCACTAGAGGCGCTTCCGCGATTTACACTGAGTAAATCGCACTTATTTGTCAAAAAAGATCCCCATAGGAAAGCATTGAGTTATGCTTTCCTATGGGCGGGTTTAAAAGTGCGCGCACGCCACTCGGGAGCTGACGTCAGCGGGGGAGGAGAGGTCACAAGCGCCGAGGGAGCCAAGTGCTGGATTAAGGTAAGTGGCTGAAGGGGTTTAAACCCCTTCAGCGCTGAAGATGGGGTGCACTCCAAGAGCCTATAAACCAGTTTTCCAGGCACTACAGAAATAGATTCCTTTAAAGTACATGCATTGGCCAATAATCCCAGCCTTTACACCTTCTGTAACAGTCTCTCGCTAAATTAGGAAGTACCTTCAACAATCATTTTCAGCCTACTTTTTATAACATCAGTGAGCTCATCCCATGAGCAGTATATTATGAAAACAGCAATAGCATCTGGGAATTGTTAGCAGCTGAACTACATCTGTTAGACACCTGACATGACATCATGTACTGCGGTATTACTACAGGTTGAGAAGGGAAGAAGTTGGGCTTACGGAACTAAATGTAGTTTTATTCAAAATAAAAAGACTAACTACAGGGAGTGCAGAATTATTAGGCAAATGAGTATTTTGACCACATCATCCTCTTTATGCATGTTGTCTTACTCCAAGCTGTATAGGCTCGAAAGCCTACTACCAATTAAGCATATTAGGTGATGTGCATCTCTGTAATGAGAAGGGGTGTGGTCTAATGACATCAACACCCTATATCAGGTGTGCATAATTATTAGGCAACTTCCTTTCCTTTGGCAAAATGGGTCAAAAGAAGGACTTGACAGGCTCAGAAAAGTCAAAAATACTGAGATATCTTGCAGAGGGATGCAGCACTCTTAAAATTGCAAAGCTTCTGAAGCGTGATCATCGAACAATCAATCGTTTCATTCAAAATAGTCAACAGGGTCGCAAGAAGCGTGTGGAAAAACCAAGGCGCAAAATAACTGCCCATGAACTGAGAAAAGTCAAGCGTGCAGCTGCCACGATGCCACTTGCCACCAGTTTGGCCATATTTCAGAGCTGCCACATCACTGGAGTGCCCAAAAGCACAAGGTGTGCAATACTCAGAGACATGGCCAAGGTAAGAAAGGCTGAAAGACGACCACCACTGAACAAGACACACAAGCTGAAACGTCAAGACTGGGCCAAGAAATATCTCAAGACTGATTTTTCTAAGGTTTTATGGACTGATGAAATGAGAGTGAGTCTTGATGGGCCAGATGGATGGGCCCGTGGCTGGATTGGTAAAGGGCAGAGAGCTCCAGTCCGACTCAGACGCCAGCAAGGTGGAGGTGGAGTACTGGTTTGGGCTGGTATCATCAAAGATGAGCTTGTGGGGCCTTTTGGGTTGAGGATGGAGTCAAGCTCAACTCCCAGTCCTACTGCCAGTTCCTGGAAGACATCTTCTTCAAGCAGTGGTACAGGAAGAAGTCTGCATCCTTCAAGAAAAACATGATTTTCATGCAGGACAATGCTCCATCACACGCGTCCAAGTACTCCACAGCGTGGCTGGCAAGAAAGGGTATAAAAGAAGAAAAATCTAATGACATGGCCTCCTTGTTCACCTGATCTGAACCCCATTGAGAACCTGTGGTCCATCATCAAATGTGAGATTTACAAGGAGGGAAAACAGTACACCTCTCTGAACAGTGTCTGGGAGGCTGTGGTTGCTGCTGCACGCAATGTTGATGGTGAACAGATCAAAACACTGACAGAATCCATGGATGGCAGGCTTTTGAGTGTCCTTGCAAAGAAAGGTGGCTATATTGGTCACTGATTTGTTTTTGTTTTGTTTTTGAATGTCAGAAATGTATATTTGTGAATGTTGAGATGTTATATTGGTTTCACTGGTAATAATAAATAATTGAAATGGGTATATATTTGTTTTTGTTAAGTTGCCTAATAATTATGCACAGTAATAGTCACCTGCACACACAGATATCCCCCTAACATAGCTAAAACTAAAAACAAATTAAAAACTACTTCCAAAAATATTCAGCTTTGATATTAATGAGTTTTTTGGGTTCATTGAGAACATGGTTGTTGTTCAATAATAAAATTAATCCTCAAAAATACAACTTGCCTAATAATTCTGCACTCCCTGTATAGAGCCTGTATAACCCAACCTCAGCACACCAGATACTGATGAACTACAGCCTATGTCCAGGTACGCAAAGCATCAATGGAAAAGTAGTTGAAAAGCTAGCCTCCATTGATCCATAGGGTTGATCTATTATATCCTTAATCATTTCACCAAATTGCTTTTCAGCTATACTGTCAGAACAATCAGTGCATTCTGCTACAAGCTGAATATAGATGAAATACATCTCAAATGGCGAAGAAATTTGTCTCTGTATGATGTCTTGGAAACAGGGGTGTGTTTCCATGGAGACATGATTAAGAATGGGCATTGCATGTGGCTGGCTGCTTATTCATGCAATAACAAAAACAATCAAACAGAGGAAGAACGCAATGTAGGTATGCTTAAACCTGTTATATTAAGCAAAATCTACGTAAGGAGAAAGGGTACCATAAATGATCAGGGTTTAATTATTCACGGCATATATTTAGCATACACTGATCAGCCACAACATTAAAACCGCCTAATATTGTGCTGCAAAAACAGCTCTGATTCGTTGAAGCATGGACACCACAAGACCTCTAAATGTGTCCCGTGTTGTCTGGCACCAAGACATTAGCAGCAAGTCCTTCAAGCCCTGCACGTTGCCATGTGAGGCCTCCATGGATTGGATTTGTTGTTCCAGCTCATCCCACAAATGATCAAGTGGATTGAGATCTGGGGAATTTGGAGGTGAACTCTTTGACATGTTCCTGAACAATCTTTGCAGTGTAGCAGGGTGCATTATCTTGCTGAAGGAGGCCACTGCCATCAGGGAACACCATGGCCCTGAAGGGGTGTACGTGGTCTGCAACAACCTCTAGGTTGGTGGCACGTGTCAAAGTAACATCCACATGTAAACTAGGACCCAAGCTTTCCCAGCAGATCATTGCAGATCATTGCCCAGAGCATTGCACTGCCTTCACCAGCCTACCTTCTTTCCATAGGGCATCCACTGGTAAACAATGCACACAAACCCACCTGAAAATGTGATTTATCAGAACAAGCAACCTCCTTCTATTGCTCCATGATCTAGTTCTGATGCTCATGTTCTCATTGAAGGCGCTCTTGGCAGTGGACAGGGGTTATCATGAGAAATTTGACAGCCTGTGGCCCTTCTGTATGATCGGACCTGCGGGATAGCTTTCGCTCCTCATGTGCATTAGTGAGCCTTCGGCGCCCATGACCCTGATGCTGGTTTACCAGTTGACCTTTCTTGCACTACTTTTGGTATGTACTAACCACTGCATACCGGGAACACCCCACAAGTCTTGCCATTTTAAAGATGCTCTGACCCAGTCGTCTAGCCATTACTATTTGGCCCTTTCGAAAGACACTCAGATCTTTTCGCTTGCCAGGTTTTTCTGCTTTCAACACATGTAATTCAAGAACTGACTGTTCAGTTCCTGTCTAATATATCCCATCACTTGACAGGTCTTATTGTAACAATATAATTAACATTATTCATCAGTGGTCAGTGGTTTTAATGTTGTAGCTGATTGATGTATGTCTCCACCATTTAATGTGTTCTATGGTGGTGCAGAGCTCTTGTACAAACTTTCAATACAATAAGAATGCAGAGAGATGCCATCTTGCTCTCTCCAACAGAGTTACTAAAAGTCTAGACCCCTTAATGGTAAAGTAGCCAAGGGGACCAGGCCCATCGCTTTTCACATTAAAAAGGAATTTACACCACTGAAGAAAACCTTAAAAATCACCTGTAACTTGTTTTACCCTTTTTTATGGATTGTACATTTTCTTTTAAATTTATATTCAAGATTTACTAAATTACAACAATCCATCTCAGACAAAGCAAATCCAGGACTAACGTTTTAGAATCTTAGATGCTGGCTGCCAGGTGCAAAGGAGAGGTTATAACAACGACATGAGTGACAGTTCCCCCTTTAACTATCTGGTTAGAAAAACCAGGATTATCCCAAATCAATCCGGACATCAATCACACATGAACTAATGCAATCCTCACTATAGTTACTTCCCCCAGAAGGCAACCATTGGTTTTCTTGACCTCTCGGGTAATTAAACTTTTATATTCCTCATAATTAAATTCACTGTGCTGTCACACCAGACCCAGCCATTAAAATGCCAGAAAAACAGCTCAGTGCTTCAGGAAGCTGAATTCAGTAACACTTAGTCATAGGTTCGATTGCCAGCTACGTTAACTCAGCCTTTCATTCTGCCAAGATGAAAAACACAAGTGACATTACTGGTAATTATGATATATAGACCCCGGGATCTACTTGAAAGTTGACGACAAGTCAAGTTCTATATTTCCTGGTTTGTTACTTAGATATCATTTCAAATGGTCAGTGAAGGACACATTCATACAAGACGATGTGGCCAGGGACAAGCTTATTAAGGTGACTGTATAATCTACTGATAACCATTCAGGTAGTATTAAAATTATTCAAAAACAAGATCAAAGTTTTTATCTACACAAACATACTTTTATCTTTATTTTATTTTTTTATTTAGTTTTTTTTGTTAGTTTTGGACAATCTTAATTTTTTGGGTATCTGTGTTTCCATATAAGAATGAAGCAAATACAGACATAATATCAAGTCGACCTGCGCATTTACAGTATTGGTATGTATAGCATGAATTTAAAATATTTTTTTTTTAGTAGTTCTGAATTTTAATTATATCAACCAAGTTGCTTCAGTATTATTATTTTGCTATATACATTTGTTTTATTTCTATTAGCGTAAATAAGTTTTTGTGTACTTGTCAATGCATGTTATTAGTATACATTATGCACCAGTTTCCCATCTTCAGAAGATGGATACTGGGACCTCTAGTGACCTCATCATATGAGACAAGTATGACCATTATCCATCCAGGTACCCAGGCCCTCAATTATCCAGTCGTAACAGGAAGAATGGAAAAGAATTGGATAATTCAAAAGCAAAATCATGGGTTTAGGCACTAAAGCGGTAAAAGTAAAATTAAAATAAAATATGTCGTCAAAATTTTTTTTTTCTGAACGTTCTTTGCTCAATCAAATCTAGGTCAGCCTAATAATTACTAATATAAAAATAATATGTAGAACACAGGATAAGAAATCAGAAGATCTGTTTATTTTGCTGGTTCCACCAATTTTTGTCTTTTGAAATTGTCGTGTGTTCTGTTTACAGTACAAAAAATGCTTCATCTTAACTAGAGTGGATCGTTATGCAAAAGCGATGCAAATCACTGGTCAAGACTAAAAACATTAGTCCCCTAAATCGTGGTTTTGTGATTATATTTCAGGCTATTCCTTAACACCACATTATTTGCATCTTAGCCAATAACAGCCACATACACAGGCTCCTTCCACTTTTATTATAAATATATGTGAATTGTGAGAGGAAAAACAAAGGCCCACTCCTATTTGTATTTTAATGTCCGAGTGCAAACATGGCCTATCTGTTTTTTAACAATACTTGGATTTCATCTTTAACAGTAAACAGTCAATTTCTTTGTGGAATAAATACACAGCGAGGGTTCATGATGCTAATTATAGCCTTTCCCTATAGGATGATAGTCATATCTTGATGACTGCCAATTATATCTCGATATGCTGTATGGCCATCAGAACCTGAACATCGCAATGTTTTACAGAAAGCCAAAGTTCCCCTTTACGTGTCATATATTCTTTGATTGGTTAGTTTCAACCCATTGTAGTCTAAACATTTTAATTTTAATTCCTTTCTTCCTTGGATGTCTTTAAAACCTCCAGCACTATATTACTTTAGATTGTGTTAATACAATTTATTATAATTTAATTTTATAAAGCTTTTTTTTTTTTGTGTGCTTTTTTTCCATCCTTTATTTTTCTCAGAAAAAAAACCCTCAGACATTCGTATTACAATATGGCACACACATCAGTATACAGACGAAATTGCCTTACATCACTGTAATATATAATAAAGCAGAGAGGAATGTGCGGGCAATATAAATGCGAGCAGAGTTACAGCATCTAAATATAGCAATATTATGGGTGTTCATCTCTCCACTGTGTGACAAACTGGTTGATATAAAGACTAAAATGCCAGGTATTAGTTGATTATAATTCTCTGTCTTAGGTCCTGAGGATTTTATACTTTTTAGAAAGAACCCGAAAATGGGGTGTATAGCATGAAATTTAAGTGGTAACTACTATACATTTTGATAGTCAAGGTTAGAGCCATCGGAAAACCACATTACTGATGCATGTGCAGCTTCAAATTATATATAAAAAGCATATTCGGGACATAACGTAATCTTAATCATCCCATACATCAGGGCATACTGGTATGTAAGGTTGGTGTCACAAAAAGAAGGTAAAGGAAAGGGTTAAAAAAACAAACAAAAAACCCCCCCACCCATGACCGTGATTTTGCGGCATGTAGATGTTTAGTGAGCTACTTTTTGTGTCTCGAAAGTGGGGATCTAGTGTGATGCAACAGCACAGGAAGGAGCTGAAAAGGTAAGTCCATGTCGGTAATTGTCTTGCGCAATCAACCGGCACGTCCACCAAATGTGGAATCCTGAACCAACCTCCTGCTCGCATCTCCAGCACACATCACTGATCTCAGGATTCATCCAGTGCAGCATTTCAGGAGTCCTGTATCAGTGCATCAGTAGCTTATAGCTTATTTCCTCGAATTTTGAACATATGGAACCTTGTTGGGTAAGGATTAAGATCTTCTCCCACGCCTGCTGTGAATCCTCCGACAGGGTGGCATTGAGTACCTCTGATTTGTCCATATTAAGTTTTAGGTTGGACAGTTGGCCATATTCCTTAAATATAGCCAGCAAATTAGGCAAAGATGTCAATCAAGGTATCAATCGATAAGACTGTCAGGAAAGTATGGCAGAGACAAAGGTCTCCCCGAAAAGGCCTATTGGCCTAGGTGAGTGGCAGCAAATGCGTGGCAGCTTGGTGATCTGTGAGTAGGTGGGTGGCCAAGGAACAATAGCCGTTGCTGTTCTAGCCGTGCACAAAATCTGTCACAGAGATCATCATATGCCATAATAAATGTATCCACCCATGATAGTTGGCAGATGGACAGTTGCTCTAAGGTCAGAGCAGCAGCCATTTCAACTTAGGCCTCAATATAATGTGGTGCAGGACAATAAGAGCCTCTTCGTCTGGGTTAGCAGAAAACCACTTCAGTGAGAACCGAGATAACCCCCATTGATCCAAGGGGGGTCTTTTTGACGTGCTCATAATGTGTAAGAGCAGGGAATCGATCACATCACCCAAATCATGCATGCTGGTAGGCCGCAACTGGATAAGTCCAGAGGAACACTTGATAAAAAAAACAGTCCAAACAAATTCAAATCCTCTTTAGGCAAAATGTGATTGGATGGAAATACCCATAATTCTCGAGATTTATCTTTAATTTGAGTTTTTAACTCAGGAGCTCATGCAGCCATCATCTTGTTCGATTGACAGTCAGGCCTCACCTCCACAAACCAATTTCTAAGTGCAGTTATTATAATTTAAAGGATCACTAGAGGGTCAGAAACACAAACATGTATTTCTGACCCTATGGTGTTAAAACCACCATCATGCCTCCATAAATATAGCAACAGACTTCAGGTGGAAGGGGTTTTCAATCACAATTTTTCCCCACCATAACCTAGTTGGATTTTGCTTCCCAAGCACTACCAAGCCTCAATAAGCAAACCAGTAACCAACCTCATGCTGACGAGTTGCATTAACAACAAAACAGCTGTCCATGAGTGGTTCACTGGTTTTGCATCTTTTCCTATATTATGTTTCAAGCTGTTGTATACAGCAAACACAGATTAAAAGGAATCCATGTTTAAAATGGAATGAGGCAAAAATGTGATTCTTTGTTAAACTAATTTGCATATGCCCACCCAGAATCCTTTGCAGTTGTAACATCGCTGCAGTTATGGGATTTCTGTGGGAAAGCAAGTCTTATGGCTTGACTGGTTTGCAGATTTTTGTTTAACATTGTATTAATTATCCACAGACTTCAGGTGGAAGGGGTTTTCAATCACAATTTTACCCCACCATAACCTTTGGATTTTGAAAATATTACTGTAGTCAAGCCTGAAGCTGTAGATCTGCATGCTGTTTGCCTTAGAAAAAAAAGCTGTCTGCTGACATCATCAGAAATGGTGGCCTGATCCAATCACAATGCTTCCCCATAGAATTGGCTGAGACTGACCAGGATGAAGATCAGGGGCAGAACCAGCACAAATTCAAATACAGACCTGGCCAATCAGCATCTCCTCATACAGATGAAGTGAATCAATGAATCTCTATGAGGAAAGTTCAGTGTCTGTATGCAGAGGGTGGAGACTCTGAATGTTTGGATGCATTTTAGGCGGCCATGACCCAAGAAGGATCTCTAACTCCATCTAAGGAGTGGCCAGTGAAGTTATCACTAGGCTGTAATGTAAACACTGCATTTTCTCGGAGAAGACAGTGTTTACAGCAAAAAGCCTGAAGGGAATGATTCTACTCACCAGAACAAATTCAATAAGCTGTAGTTGTTCTGGTGACTATAGTGTCCCTTTAAAGATCAATTATTGTGCGTTTTATTCATGTGAAGCTCAATTATATTTTTAATCACACCCAATATTCGGGGACCCTATAAAAGAAGCACTCTAGAATTAAATAAAGGTGTGAAGGATTTGGTCCCAAAATAGGGACACTCAGGGATACATATGGAATATTTTCCAGGGAAGTCACAATCTGTATAGTTACTGTCACTAATAGTTAGGATTTAAATAAAAAGAGGAATTAAGAGGTTTTAATTGTTACCAGTTGCAGTTGGGATCATTGGTAGTTAAAATGTGCTTGTCTGATATTTTATTAACAAAGGCTATAGTTATCTGGATGTGAACATTGATAAGTGGCTATAAGCATTATACAGTCTTTCTAGAGTTATCTGTCACTATACAGTGTGCGTACTTCGAGCTAAAATATCTTACTTTTTAATTGACTGCCATATGGGAATCTTTACTTTAAATGCTGATACTTACATAGGCACTGTCATCCCCTCTGAAAAAGGAGTATTTCATAAATATAGAATATTTACTCATAAAATACTCATTATGACTGTGTTGGAATTCCACAGAAATTCCAACCCAGTCAAGAGATATACAGAGACAGAGTACAGACTACCCTGTCTCTGTATTTCTCCTCTGCCTGACCCAAGTGTCAATCCCAACAGTTGTCACCAGTGACTGCTTCAGGGAATTGACTGTGTCTATGGAGCATCCCGTGGTCTCGTAGGATCCCCCCTAGACCTCAAGTTGTATTCTCGCACATATGTAAGGGTACAGTAGTGACGTCGGCTCGTGGTGCCAGGAGTTGAAGAGGAGCTGAAAGATGGTGGCGCCCATGAGGGACAGGGTCAGGTAAGTAAGCTAACCTTTACCTGCCCCCCGCAGCCACCATCAGCGAACTTTGCGAATTCGACAAAGTCTCCAGACGGATTACATTCAGCCGATTTCAGATGTGAATTCAACTTGTCGGTGTTGAGATGTCAGGGTACAGCAAAATGTACCTAAATGTAGACAGGACTAGCAGCGTTGGACGCGAAAGGCTTGTTGGTTTAAAGTAAAGGTGATCAACATGTACATCTACAGGAGCTAAATGACCGCAACAGCGATAAAAGACTAATATAATGAATAAAAGATGCCTGCAATACTGGAATAAAAAAAATACTGTCCATAAAATAAATAAATGAATAATGTTGCTTTACACTACCCTGATAAACCCATGCTGTAGCTTGTACGTAGACGTCACTGCAACCTGCACATCCTGTGTTACCTGGCATTGTGCTATGTTTATCATCATCGATGTAGACTGTACAACCACCACTCAAAAGAATCTTCTCATCTCCTTCATTCCACCATCAGTTGTCTGGTCCACTAAGATAACATTACACAGTAATAACGTGTGTATACACACACACACACACACACACACACACACACACAGACACACACACACACACACACACACACACACACACACACCTCTTTCCCACACCTGCATTATGTACTGCCTGGTCTCATTACACAAATCCCAGCCTATCGCACGTTGGATTCTCACTCCCATCACACACAGATAGTAAGTTCCAATAACACAGACATCCCACTCTCATTACACACTGACAGCCAGCATCACACATACAGTATGTTCCCTTGTCTGGCCTTCCTGTTACTCCCCTGCCCCTGCCACAAGCCTTTTTGAGCCCCCTCTCCCTTTGGTTCATGCGGGCTCTCACTTGGCAGCGTTGGCAGAGATCCAAAACTCTGCTCCCTTACAAACAAGATTGGGCAATACATATATTACATGCACTCAGCTCCCATCACACCCAAGCACACTCAGTAACCCCCCAGCAATGGCTGTTACATGTGATGCCAGCAATTAAAATAATGTATGACATTGTGGGGGGAGATGTATCAAACTGTGATTGGAAAAGTGGCGCCAAGTTCCGTTTCTCTTGGAATGGATTGGAAGGGCTGCCCAGCAGAATGCAGAATTTACATGAACCCACTGGGACACCAATTAAATAATCACAGACAGGATGCCCCAACAAATTGCAGAATTATAGGAGACGTACTGAACAAACACGTCAAGCCATCAGACAGTTTGAAATACATGGAAAGCCTCAGCTTCTGTCACTGTTCTAATGATGCACACTAAATATAATGCTGATAAAAGTCTATTCTGGCAACACTGTATATATTACACTCAAACACGTCTCATAAATATTATATGCATTTCTGCTTATTGACAGTTGGGAACTGTGCTCTTTGGTTGTAATAATGATGCCTCTTGCTATATCAAATCCTAGTGCGGTATTGTTGTGATGTCATCAAGGTTCAGATCATACCTCCCAAGTGTCCCTATATAAGAGGGACAGTCCTTATTTTGGGCTCAAACCCCTGTCTCTCTTTTCTAGGAGCTCCTTGTTGGTGTGTCCGAGTCCCTAGCAGAGCTCCAATACAATAATACTCACATTATGTATTTAAACGACAATCATTGCATTTAGAAATAAGTTTATGTAAATAAAGATGTTTTGGAATTGTTCTGAATAACATTTTTATTTACATAAATATAATAGGTTATATAGTCACATGTGGTGTATTGGAGGAGTCCTTTGGGTTACACAATTTAGAATATTAGATTACAGAGATTTCTCTTGTGATCCAGAATGTTGGATTACATAAATTGGAGTTTGAGATTACAGCAATTGCTGTTCTAATTTAGAATGCTGGATAACATCATTTAGAATGTTGGATTATATAATATAGAATGTTGGATTACATAGTTTAGAATGTTGGATTATATAATATAGAATGTTGGATTATATAATATAGAATGTTGGATTACATAGTTTAGAATGTTGGATAACATAGTTTAGAATGTTGGATTATATAATTTAGAATGTTGGATTACATAATTTAGAATGTTGGATAACATAGTTTAGAATGTTGGATTATATAATATAGAATGTTGGATTACATAGTTTAGAATGTTGGATTATATAATTTAGAATGTTGGATTACATAGTTTAGAATGTTGGATTATATAATTTAGAATGTTGGATTACATAATTTAGAATGTTGGATAACATAGTTTAGAATGTTGGATTATATAATATAGAATGTTGGATTACATAGTTTAGAATGTTGGATTATATAATTTAGAATGTTGGATTACATAGTTTAGAATGTTGGATTATATAATTTAGAATGTTGGATTACATAATTTAGAATGTTGGATAACATAGTTTAGAATGTTGGATTATATAATATAGAATGTTGGATTACATAATTTAGAATGTTGGATTACATAGTTTAGAATGTTGGATTATATAATATAGAATGTTGGATTACATAGTTTAGAATGTTGGATTACATAGTTTAGAATGCTGGATTACATAGTTTAGAATGTTGGATTATATTATATAGAATGTTGGATTACAGAGATCTCTGTTCCAATTTAGAATTATGGAATGTGGAGCTGCATAGTTTTATTTAGATACCAGAACCATTGCTCAGTTCCAGAAATACTTAGGGTTGACATGATAACCCCTACACTAACAGAGAGGTGGGGAGATGTCATACATCCATGCCCCTCTATATTATGTCCCTTCCTTTCTACACAAGAACAGCATGCAGTTTGTGTATAAACCAGAAACATGCACATGCTGCACAGCCATGTATTCCATGTAATCCTGCCATGTTACCTAACTAACAGAGAGCCATGCAACAAGGTTCTGTTCCCAACAAGCCCATCCTGGGGTGGAACCCACCCACCCCCTGACCGTAGTAACATTCTAGAGCTCTGTACTACTCCAGTTTTCAGTAAAAAAAAAACATAATAAAAACTAATATCCTCCTGCCCCCGTCACTACATGTAGAGATACACGTTTAAGAGTCCCACCCACAAACCCAGACCTCCCAACTGTCCAGATTTTGCCCTGATTTCAGTGTCACCCTAACCTTGTTCCCTGGTGTCCAACTTTCGGTGACATGTCCCCAACAAATGTACTGCGAGAGCTTGATTAGACCCATTTGTGGTATGCTCTTGGCACTAAAACAGTGCTTATCTACCCTCAGCTGACCTGTCAACTCTTCGAGTGGACCGGCCACCTTTGATTAGCGTCACTGATCCATCCCCATTACATTGCCCACTGGACATTGGAGATCTGTTTTCTAGTTTCACATGTTTGGTTATAGATGAAGCTGAGTTTTACTGACTTCCATAAACCAAGACTGTTCACCCTTTAGACCAAATTAGGAGCCGCTGATACCACTTCTAGTTAAAAATGGTGGAATTCTGGGGGAGGTTGGTAAGTAATTCACAATGATCACGTCTCTAGATTATGGGTGGAATTTAAGACGTGCCAGAAAATAAAATGTTCAATCTATATTTGGAACCCCAGCTTCCTTCCCTAAAACGTTTCCGTGTAATGACGGCAAGGTTAATTCTGGCTGCGATGTGTAGTCTTACCTGGGATGGGAACATGGTAATATCAGTTACAGGATGTCGATGCATTCCGCAATGCTGTATAGCATATAAATTGTATAAAAGGTCTTTACAGGGGCCCAGGCATCGGAAATGTACTACAAATGCTTTATAAAAACGAGATACTTGTATTATAGTATTATATTTCCACCATCCCCTATGTTTTATTTACAGTTATTCAATAAATTGTGTATTGCTGGCAGTTCAAAGTGGATTTCAAATTTGAAGTCAAGAGTCTCCACGTCAGCTGTGTTTGTAGTATAGCTACACAGGCTTAAAATGTGATATTCGCTTTTAATCCTGATAATTCACACTTCAATAACCCTGTCTGTGATTGAATGCATACGATCCTGTCCCTTCTAGGGACAAGATGAATTCTATGCACATAACAGGCTAATGCACTCTGTAATATTAAGTAAAACTCCATCATAGCTAGCGGGAGTTAAAATATATCAAAATAATATCAATGTCATCCATGGATTTTTTCCTGTGGATATTTTTTACCCAAGAGCCTCAAGACTTTATCCAAGGCCCAATACTATCTGTTAATTCCTACAACCCTTACCTTCAAACCTGTTACTCTATCTCTGTATCTCCTCACCCCCTAGTGCCTCTATATCCCCCTGTCTCACTCTCTTAATTCATAACCCCTAACCAGTCTTCATTTGTTCCACCCTATCCTTTGTATACTGCCACCTAAAGAGACCAGGGGCTAAAGAAACCCACATTCAAGGCTCTAGTCCCTAATATCACCAATGTTCGCCATGTGATTAAAGGCACAACAATGATATTTAGAAGTTCCAGGAATCATTATTATTATAATTATTTATAAAGCGCCAACAAATTCTGCAGCGCTATACAATAGGTGGACTAACAGACAAGTAATTGTAACCAGACAAGTTGGACGCACAGGGACAGAGGGGGTTGAGGGCCCTGTTTAAACACGCTTACATTCTAGAAGGAGTGGGGTAAAGTGGCCCAAGAGGTAAGGGTAGGGTAGAAAAGTAGGTTGCTAGAATAGTTTTTCACTGAGGGCTTAGGTTTTTTTTTTACTTTTTTGTGTCTGACAGTTGTACAGGAGGTAGAAAGGTGCAGGGAGGAAGGGCTGTTAAGAGTTTAATTGATACGATTTCCTAGAATTTTCCCTTTTTTGTAGTAATAGAGACAGGGTGAGAGTCTAACGGAGAGAGGAAGAGAGTTCCACAGGAACGGTGCAGCCCTAGAGAAGTCTTGAAGGCGAGCATCAGAGATACGAGTACGAACAGAGGCTAGACGTAGGTTTTCGGCAGAATGTAGGGGCCTAGATGGGACATACTTGTGAATTAGGGAGGATAGGTAGGAGCAGCATTGTGTAGAGATTGTGGGAATTGTGGATATCCTCATTATAAATGCAGGGATAAGTTACTGTACTATTTTGAACACTAAAGTCAGTGTGGACAGTATGATAATGGATACCAGTTACTTGGACCTGTAATGAACTGGTGTAAGGGCAGTTCAACAACTATGTAGCAGAAAATGCTTTAAACAATAAATTTAGTATTGGTAATCCAGATGTCTCTGCTCATTTCATCGAAAATAGTGTCTTACCTAGAAATGATCATTATCTTTTATTCTATCTAGAGTGTACCTAGAGAAACGAATAGAGACAGAGTGGCACACAATGATCTAACAAGCCATTCTATAATAGCACACTCAGATCTGTAACCCAATATTCTAATTAAGAACATTCTCATTGTGAACACACATCTCTGTAATGCAGCAATGTAAATTGGAACAAAATGTTTTACATTCTAGATTAGATCACAACGGAACATACCATAGATCAGAACACACTTCCATATCCTACTTTCTAAACAGGGATACATACTTCGTAATCTTAAATTCTAGATTGGAACCCACAGCTCTGTAATCCAAGGTAGCAAATTAGAAGAGATGTCTTTGTTATCTAAGATTCAATATCACTAGATCAGTGATATCTCCAAATAAACATTCTAAATGGGAACATCGTTTTCATCCAATATTTTAAAACAGAACAGAAGCCGCTAAAGTTCAGTATTGTAAAACTGATACAAATTCACTATTGTAAACTAGAAGGTACATGTTTTAAGCCTACATTCTAAGAACACGTATTTATACACAAGACACAAGTCTCGGTAATACAACATTCTAATTTAAAACATATCTATTTATTCCAATATTATAAGAAAGAACGCATATTTATACACAAAGCACGCATTTCTGTAATACGACATTCTAAATTAAAACACATATATAAGTAATTTAACATAGAGCTCTGTGATCCAACATTCTAAATCAAAACATAGAGCTCTGTAATCCAACATTTTAAATCAAAACCTAGAGTGCTGTAGTCCAACATTCTAAATAAAAAAATAGAGTGCTGCAATCCAACATTCTAAATCAAAACATAGAGTGCTGCAATCCAACATTCTAAATCAAAACATAGAGCTCTGTAATCCAACATTCTAAATAAAAACATAGAGCTCTGTAATCCAACATTCTAAATCAAAACATAGAGCTCTGTAATCCAACATTCTAAATAAAAAAATAGAGTGTTGTAATCCAACATTCTAAATAAAAACATAGAGTGCTGTAATCCAACATTCTAAATCAAAACAGAGCTCCTTGATCCAACATTCTAAATAAAAAAATAGAGTGCTGTAAGCCAACATTCTAAATCAAAACATAGAGCTCTGTGATCCGACATTCTAAATACAAAACATAGAGCTCTGTAATCCAACATTCTAAATTTAAAACATAGAGCGGTGCAATTCAACATTCTAAATCAAAACATAGAACTCTGTAATCCAACATTCTAAATAAAAAAATAGAGCTCTGTAATCCAACATTCTAAATAAAAAAATAGAGTGCTGTAACCCAACATTCTAAATCAAAACATAGAGTGCTGTAATCCAACATTCTAAATCAAAACATAGAGCGCTGTAATCCAACATTCTAAATAAAAAAATAGAGTGCTGTAATCCAACATTCTAAATCAAAACATAGAGTGCTGTAATCCAACATTCTAAATCAAGACATAGAACTCTGTAATCCAACATTTTAAATCAGAACAGAAGCCGCTAAAGTTCAGTATTGTAAAACTGATACAAATTCACTATTGTAAACTAGAAGGTACATGTTTTAAGCCTACATTCTAAGAACACGTATTTATACACCAGACACAAGTCTCGGTAATACAACATTCTAATTTAAAACATATCTATTTATTCCAATATTATAAGAAAGAACGCATATTTATACACAAAACACGCATTTCTGTAATACGACATTCTAAATTAAAACACATATATAAGTAATTTAACATAGAGCTCTGTGATCCAACATTCTAAATCAAAACATAGAGCTCTGTAATCCAACATTTTAAATCAAAACCTAGAGCTCTGTAATCCAACATTCTAAATCAAAAAATAGAGTGCTGTAGTCCAACATTCTAAATAAAAAAATAGAGTGCTGCAATCCAACATTCTAAATCAAAACATAGAGTGCTGTAATCCAACATTCTAAATAAAAACATAGAGCTCTGTAATCCAACATTTTAAATCAAAACCTAGAGCTCTGTAATCCAACATTCTAAATCAAAACATAGAGCTCCTTGATCCAACATTCTAAATAAAAAAATAGAGTGCTGTAAGCCAACATTCTAAATCAAAACATAGAGCTCTGTGATCCGACATTCTAAATACAAAACATAGAGCTCTGTAATCCAACATTCTAAATCAAAACATAGAGTGCTGTAATCCAACATTCTAAATCAAAACATAGAGCGGTGCAATCCAACATTCTAAATCAAAACATAGAACTCTGTAATTCAACATTCTAAATAAAAAAAATAGAGCTCTGTAATCCAACATTCTAAATGAAAAAATAGAGTGCTGTAACCCAACATTCTAAATCAAAACATAGAGTGCTGTAATCCAACATTCTAAATCAAAACATAGAGCGCTGTAATCCAACATTCTAAATAAAAAAATAGAGTGTTGTAATCCAACATTCTAAATCAAAACATAGAGTGCTGTAATCCAACATTCTAAATCAGAACAGAAGCCGCTAAAGTTCAGTATTGTAAAACTGATACAAATTCACTATTGTAAACTAGAAGGTATATGTTTTAAGCCTACATTCTAAGAACACATATTTATACACCAGACTCAAGTCCTATTCACACATTCTTTATGAAATACCTCTCAGATATCTTGCTAGGCCTGGCCCAATAATGTCTTCCTGTTTATGTCTTTATTTAAGAATAATCAATGCATGAAATTGCTGTTTTAGTCTGTGTTCGTGCGTTTGCTATGAATCCCGTGTATTAGATAGAGGATATGCAACTTTTTTAAACAGAAGATGGCGGCAGTGAAATGGGTTAAAGGCATAAAACATAAAACAGACTAGTTTGCTCTAGTTTTTACTGCAGGGGAGAACATAGAACTGAACGAGAACACAAGATCAATGAGAAATATGAGGGAAAACCATATCAGAACTTGGAATGGGGGGGAGGCACAAAGAAGAACCCTGTGGAGAGCGGGATACGGGGGGAAGACTGGACAGCAGGAGGATTCAAAGAGGAACACAGGGGAAAGCACAGTAGAGAGGGGAATAGGGGGAAACATAGAACAGAGAGGGGAATAGGGGGAAACATAGAACAGAGAGGGGAGAGGAATACACATGGGACAATAGAGAACGGAGGGGGAAGGGAATATAGGTTAGAAAATCGAACTGAGGGGGTTGGGGGAACATAGAATGGAGGGGGGAGAGGAATAAAGGGGAGAGCATAGAAGACAAGGGGAGGGGAATGAAGGGGAGAACATAGAACGGAGGGGGGAGTGGAATGAATGGGAGAACATAGAACGGAGGGGGGAGGGGAATGAATGGAAGAACATAGAATGGAGGGGAATGAAGGGGAGAACATAGAAAGGAGGGAGGATGGGAGAACATAGAATGGAGTGAGGCGGGTAATAAAGGGGAGAACATAAAATAGTGTTTGGAGGGAAATGAAGGGGAGAACATAGAACTGAGTGAGGAGGGTAATAAAGGGGAGAACAAAGAACGGTGGGGGGAGGGTAATTAAGGGGAGAACATAGAATGGTGGGGGAGGGTAATGAAGGGGAGAGCATAGAACGGTGGGGGGAGGGTAATGAAGGGGAGAACATAGAGCAGAGGGGAATGAAGGGGAGAACATAGGAAGGAGAGGGAGGGGAATGAAGGGGAGAACATACAACAGAAGGTGTAGGGAATAGATGGGAAAAAGTAAAACTGACTGGGAAGGAGAATAAAGGGAAAAAAATAGCACAGAGGGTGGAGGGGAATACAGTGGAGATACCGGGTATACCACAAAAAAGAAAATGGGACACAGTGTGCAGAAGTTTAAAAAAAAAAAACATAGTTGTAAAAGTTCCATGAAGACATTGCCAAAAACATCTCCCATGTTCCTCAGAAGGGGGCCAACTACATGCACGGCTTACCTAACTCCTCTTCGATCTCCGTCAGTGTTTGTGTATCCTTTTTTCCTTAGGCCCTTATCATCCTGCATCTGTATCTCACTTATTCTGTTCTCCACCTATCTCTCTGTGCTCTAATAAAATGTCCTATGTCCACCTTGCTTGGCCACTTGCTGCACCTTCTGCTGTTCTCTGTTCTTTCACCTCTCCGTCTACCTTTAACTTTCTTCCCTGCTTTGGTTTTAGCCTCTCACTTTTTCTGCATTTCTCTCCCCTTCTCTTTCTGCTCGGTTACCAGTCTCACTTCTGGTCCACTGATCTCAGCATCTCACCTCTTCCTGCTCATAGTCTCGCCCCGTCAAGACTTCCTGTCAGGTCTGTTCAGGGCTTGTCACTGCAGCGAGGGGATTGTCTACACACACACAGTAACCCTTCAAGAAGAAAAAAAACCAAAACATCATCTCAGTACATCCGAGAAGTAAAAAATATCAAACGACTGAGTGAGCTAGAAAAGCCACAAAGGGAAGACCAGTAAAAAATGTAAAAAAGTACACAGAGACAAGCACAAATATGTTTGTAACTTATATGGACTGGTTCAATAACTTTTTCTTTTGCAAGAACTGCATTTTAGGCTCATCTTGCAATGACAGATTATAATTTCAGAGATATATTCTGATTGGTGCAGTTTTTTTCACGATTCATCAGACAAGCATTTTTAGTTTTTCTAATCGTGTCCAGTTTTGGGGCATTTCAGTTATCGTTTCATTCCTCTTCGTCTGATCATTTCCCTCTCTAACAAGGAGTTTTTGTACACAGAGCTGACACACACTATGTTTTTTTTCCTGTTCTTTTTTTTTTTGCTTCTGCGCCATTCTCTGTAAATTGTAGATATTACTGTTTGTGTGAATCACAGATTATTATCAGGATCACAGCTACGTATACCACTATATATATCACCAACAATTATTCCACTTTAAAAGTCACATAAATCATATCTCCCCATTCTGATGTGAGATTTGAACTACAAACAAAATTGTTGATCATGTCTGCATGCTTTTATGAACTGCGTTGCTGCACATGATTGGGTGATTAGATATTTGCATCAATTAGCAGGGTACAGGTACATTAAAAAAAACAAAAAAACGTGGCCACAGTGTTTATGTAACATGATCAGCTTGCAGATTGCATTTTTAAATCCTCTGTTGCAAAGTGGTTGATTAAAAACCATGGTGAGCAGTGTAAAAGTACATGAACCTACACTTGCACACACCAACTACATACATACATGTATACACCACTCTCACAGACACGCAAACATAGTCTCACACTATGCACACAAACTACACTGCGCACATTCGTAAATAACAGAATATGTACTTAAGGGAGCTATGGGATGTTAAACATAAAGGACTCTGCAAGTTACATGGGCAGATCCATAGAATAAAACCCCGTAATAACTAATATGCATGATTATTATCTCACAGATCTCCCTAGCAATAAAATAAAAACTACATATCACAACGTTTAGTTTCCATGGTTCTTTGCAACATACATATTCCCCATTTACCTGGAAGATCGTTTGATTGATTGATTGCTAGCTATTTTATGTCCCTTCCGAATTCGGGCTCTGGATCCGCCCCAGTTGTGTGTCTGTATTTATGTACGTGCACAAGTCTATATCAGTTCTACGGATGTGACAGCTATTGTTACAATACACCTACTCAGATGGCTGTGGGTTTTCTCAGAAACCCAGGAAGTTGATCATATATCGTCTGCATTAACACATTGTATTTGTCTGTCTATTGTGTGTCTGTCTATGCTTGTACAGTATCTTATGGATATCAATTGTTTGTCTGTGCTTGTAGTGTCTGTGTCCCAGGTCTATTCCTGCTTTCACTAAATTTTTTGTATTTCTATCTGTTATATTCTAACCTTGCTCTATATATCTTTGCTCAACTATCCTTTAATGCATTTCACATGGTCTAAATATTGTCTGTGGTTAGATTGTATCCATGCATGTATTCCCTGTACTTTTATTGCACACACGTATAGATATATGGTGCCATGGTTCTGCATCTATTAACTATGTGTGTATTGCATTATATGTGTATACATTGTGTACATGTGATGATGTGTCCTGCATATACAGGTGATACCCAAAAAATGAGAATAGAGTGCAAAAGTTAATTTATTTTAGTAAAAGGAAACTAATATATGAGATAGACGCTTTACATGCAAAGCAAGATAGTTCAAGCCGTAATTTGTAATAAGTGCGATGATTATGGCTTACAGCTCATGAAAAGCCCCAATCCACAATCTCAGTAAATAAGAATATTACATGCAATCAATAAAACAAGGAGTGTACATAGAACAATATCGGACCTCTGAAAAGTATAAGCATGCATATGGACTCAGTACTTGGTTTGGGCCCCTTTTGCAGCAATTACTGCCTCAATGCGGAGTGGCATGGAAGCTATCAGCCTGTGGCACTGCTGAGGTGTTATGGAAGACCAGGATGCTTCAATAGCGGCCTTCAGCTCTTCTGCATTGTTCGGTCTCATGTCTCTCATCTTTCTCTTGGCAATGCCCCATAGATTCTCTATGGGGTTCAGGTCAGGCGAGTTTGCTGGCCAATCAAGCACAGTAATCCCATGGTCATTGAACCAGGCTTTGGTGCTTTTGGCAGTGTGGGCAGGTGCCAAGTCCTGCTGGAAAATTAAGTTAGCATCCCCATAAAGCTTGTCTGCGGAAGGAAGCATGAAGTGCTCCAAAATCTCCTGGTAGATGGCTACGTTGACCCTGGACTTAATGAAGCACAGTGGACCAACACCATCAGATGCCATGGTTCCCCAAATCAACACAGACTGTGGAAACTTCACACTGGACTTCAGGCATCTTGCCGTGTGTGCCTCTCCATTCTTCCTCCAGACTCTGGGTCCTTGGTTCCAAATGAGATGCAAAAGTTGCTCTCATCAGAAAAGAGGACTTTGGACCACTGAGCAACAGACCAGGCCTGTTTTTCTTTAGCCCAGGTAAGATGCTTCTGAAGTTGTTTGTTGTTTAAGAGCGGCTTGACAAGAGGAATACGACATCTGAAGCCCGTGTGCAGGATCCGTCTGTGTGTGGTGGCTCTTGATGCACTGACTCCAGCCTCAGTTCACTCCTTGTGAAAGTCCCCAACACTTTTGAATGGCCTTTTCCTGACAATCCTCTCCAGGCTGCGGTCATTCCAATGGTCAGGTCAGCAGTCTTCCCCATGATTGTGATTCCTACTAAACCAGACTGAGAGACCATTTAAAGACTCAGAAACCCTTTGCAGGTGTTATGGCTTACTTAGCTGATTAGAGTGGGACACTGTGAGCCTAGAATATTGCACCTTTTCACAATATTCTAATTTACTAAGATTGTGGATTTGGGGTTTTCATGAGTTGTAAGCCATAATCATCGCACTTATGACAAATCACGGCTTGAACTATCTTGCTTTGCATGTAATGCGTCTATCTCATATATTAGTTTCCCCTTTTACGTTGCATTACTGAAATAAATGAACTTTTGCACAATATTCTAATTATTCAAGTATCGCCTGTACGTGTTGCAAACTTACCTGCTCCACGTGCCCGCACTGCTGCTCTCCTTAGGTTGGGCGGACTGAATGCTCCACACAGCAACAGAACCTGAACAGGGAACTAACATATACTTACCACTTCTCCTGGTTTGCGCGGGCCGAATATCACACAGCCGCTGCTTCCCTGCATATTATCACACGCTGCCTGCTTGAATAGCGCATCTTTTATTTGTTTAAATGTCGTCATGTCACACCCGCCCTTAAAGTGACCACGTCATCCAGGCAACCCCTTAACCAATCACTTTGGAGTCGCAGAGATGACGTTGACCAATCTGAAAATGAGTAAGCCTATATAATGCCAATTTGGGCCCTTACTCAGTGATCTATCATGGTTTCTGCCTTGATACACGTTTAGTGCTTATAGTAAGTCTATCTTGATAGTTAGATTGTAACCGCAGCTGGTTCCCCTATTTACCACTATTCTATGTTCTTACCCTATTTACCACTTAAATACAACATTTCATTTTGAAACTTATAATATTTGCATTTGCCCATAACAAGATACTGATCTCAGCTTTTTGTTGGCTTAGTGTATTTCTGGTATCCTGACCTGGCTTGTTTTTAACTTTGAGTATTTCTGCGATCATGATGGGCCTGTTTATTTGTTTATCCATATCTCTATAATCCTGACCTCGGCTATTACTGACATTGTCTTTATCTTTCTTACTTTAAGTCCGGCCACTTGAAAGCCCAGTAATGCATCTGTTTGTGGGATTCACTATTTCCTGTAAGTTGGTTTAGGATCTTGTGACAATATGCACTATAGTTTCCTTGAACTATTTATACCTGTAAAAATGACTCAATATATATTTTTTACTGCTAACTAGATGATATGATGATGAGCATTGAAGGCTGAGAAAAAAACAAATCACCTTTTAGCTATGCCGTAAAAAATATTTGGCTAGCACAATGCATAGATAAACTTGTGGACATAATTGAAAAGTCAATTACGGAGATGTTCATAGCACAATACATTAGTAAAACGTCTCTGTGGCTAATGCTTACCTGCACATCTACCCGTATGAGAGAGAGAGGAACCTAATGATGATCTCTCCCTCCTATAATTCTGTCAGCCTGTCTGGAAGGTGAAGGCCTGTGACAGATATCTAGCAGATTTCTACACTACATACTAAGATTTTGTTTAACCTTCACGATGCTGGCGGGTCCAAGAAGAGAATCGTAAGAGGTGTGAGGAAGTTTAAGGTCCAGGGCTCCTTACCCATTCCCAGTAGTAACACCATTCTTGATGGCTGCAGATACCACTGGGTGTCTACAGCTGCAATAAACTGCAGTTTTTAAACAGCGCTGTGGGCGTGTAGCCCACGCCTAAAAGCACTGAAATTCCACTCAGCAATGGCTAATGGAAATTTTGAGAATTAGCGAGTGTGTTTGTTTTTATAAATCTTTTATATTGATTGCGTTTGTGTGTCAGTAATTGCTTTTCTATATCATGTTTGTCTGTAATTATACTGTGCCTGTACTGTTCTGTAAAAATTCAGTGGAATGTATTCACTAAACATGGAATCGTGAAATAAATATCAAATTAAAATAGACAACGTGTGACTATAGATTGGTTGGAGAATTTTTGCCATATCAGCCATTGTTGCCTAAATTACATATCTTGGTTTTCAGTTTATTTAACTTACACAAACAAACACATACATTTGGACTTATACTTTACAAAAGGTGATCTTGATTATTCACAAACATTGAATTTTAGTGGATGAAATCTGAATGAAAAAAATCAAGGATACAATAGCTAATTAGGGAATATATATATATATATATATTTTCTTATTAAATACCTAACTAGTGCCTGGGCCCAGAGGACTGTCCACTCGGTCTGTGACAGTAGCTATGTGGTTTTATAGAAACTCTGCAGGAAACGAAGAGCGAGCAGATCTTATTGCAGATCTTTTTGTTGATGATTTTATTCTTGCATTGCAAATGTGGGTAGGTAGCCGTAGGGAATCCAAAACTGCAATAAAATGGTTTGAGAACCCCTCTATGAGAAGACTTGATCCAAGCTATACGTAGCAGTAATTGTAGCACCATTCAGCTAGCTGAGAACAATACATTCTACAGGTACATAAACCACCAAGACGAGGTGCGAGGATTCCACCGAGAGACTGACACAGGTCACACTCATGACAAATCAAACCACAAAACCTGCGAACGTCAGCAAGAAAATGAAGCGCCTAGCAGTGTGCATGTGGATTATATTTATTTTTTATGGAGGGAGGGCATAATTTATATAGGCATAGACACTCTTATGGACCATTTAAAATCAAAGAAAGCCCAATTTACAGAGTGAGGGTAATAGCCCTGCTTGCCCTATATTGTGGACGCTGATTTTAGAGCACCAAGCCTGGTTGATATGAGCTATATAGCATCATTATACCAGAAATATCCTCAGCACGCAGCAAAGTAAATATATTGATGGTTTATTCCTCCAGCAGATTGGAAAGACAACTTTTCACACAATTCACACACTAGGGGTCTTTCTTAAACTCGAAGGCTGAATAAACAACCTTTGTGTGGTGGAACTTACCACCTATTTTATGTGTTTTCCCTTCATTTAGTCTATTTTATCCTTTTTCCGTTCGGGAGTACTTCATACGAACAAAATCCCTTGTCTCCCTAACGAGGACCACCCCATTAAAACGTTTGCACCAGCAATTTAAGTGCAAAACCGCAAGAAAAGTAATTAATGAATGCTTCCCCTGGGTGGCTGTCATCTCGTATAACCGAATGCATGTGGTAGACAAAAGAATGGCGGCCATCTTGTCTCCCAAACACGAGCAGCGGTACTTGGTCGTCGAGTGTCTGGAACACTTTTCAGCTAGCCACTTGCACGAACCCCGGTAAAGATCAGAATGCAGCCCGTTCTAATTCCCGACCATCTATAAGAACGACATTCGGGAGATATGAACTACCGAACATGGGGAGCATTCATATCCTAAAACAAAGAGATTCCCTTGCATGGT